GCATTATATATGTTATCTGGCCGGGATCTGGCGACAAGTGCTTCATATGAAAACAGTTTGTATTTCCTCAAGACCAGATGGTTTGTGGAAAGGGGATATTCTGTGTAGTGAATACGGGGCTATTCCAGTTTCATTACTGGTGTATTTTTCGGGACGTGGGTATTGTGAGGACTGTTCCGGCGGTGTGAAGTTTACTGTACAATGTACGACCTGACACCCATTAGAAAAAATACACTGCCAAACCTTTTCACAACATGTTGATTTTTACTCGCTGTTGAAGTACCCTGTCATTTTAATTTCTGCTGTGACATGAAAAGCATATTTGACAAAGAAGGTTCTTTTCATTGCATACCACAAAAGTAAATACAATTTTCACCTGATAACTGAAAATGGGTTTACTCTACATTTTCTATACTCTGGATCCAGTCCTGTTAAAAGTGCAATTCCAGGCAGTCATTAGATAAATTTGAAATTCAAAACTTCATTTTGTTTTTAAACTCTTATGAATTGACAAAAATAGGTATTATAACTCTGAGACTTTTATACATAGCTTTTTAGATATTGATTATTGTGCTGTACTGAAAAAAAACCTTCTTAAACAATACTTGTGAATTTGTTTTCCCCTGGTTTCAATGAACTCTGTACTGTTATGTGTTTCTTCAAAGTAGGAAATGTATGTGCATATATACGATGGTAAAGTTAGGTTGCAATAGGGATGAAATAGAGTTAAGACTTCAAGAACTTAATCTTAAACGAATTTAAATTTCACATTGTCTTGACCATAGTATACTAATCAGGTTCATTGGAAAAGCATTGTTTATTTTTTGCTGAAATCATTTTCATAATATTGCTGTATACATTTTTAGAAATCGCTAAATGGTGTCTTTTATGCTGGGAAATTATAATTAAGTCTTTTAACTGACCTTAAACAGTATGTATGCGCTATATTTATAAGAGAATTTCCAAAAGCCAGATGCAAGAATGCTGTTCATTTTATTGTTGTGTAGATAGAGGCCATTTTTTTTTTTTTTTTGACTACTTGGTCTTCATTATGACTCAGTTCTATCTGTTTTTTTCTGAATTGGGAATTAGATCAACATAGGAAAGCAGGTATATATATATATATCCTTTTGCTTAAATTATTAAGAAGGGGAGGGGAATAGGTCCATAATATGGACCCAACAAATGCCTTGAGACTGTCGTGTATATCAAATATTCTATCCCACTGTCAAATTTATCAAAAAATAGTGTTTGTTTATCTCAATGGAAAAGCAAATTTATGTGCTTATAATAATAATTCATGTTTCAAATTAAATTCAAAATCATATAGGGATTACATTTAATGAAAGCATCAGTGAAACGAGTGTGCTTCATAATATAAAGAGATATGTTTCACTGTGATCAGCTGTGTACGTGTATGACGAGTTCCAGCGACACATATGGTTTAGCTATATAAATTGTGTCTATGTAAATATGTGTTGTGTTAAGTTTGAACCAGCTGATAGCCGATAGTGTCTCCTGTCAGTTGGCCCCATCTCTACAGCTTGTGCATGTGCTCAAGTACACTATCAACTGAGATACCAGATACAGGTGATTGCTAATCAATTTTAATAACGAAGAGTAGGTATTTGATTGCATTATTTGCAGACTCAATATTTAGTTAATTTCCTTGCCATGATGTAAAACAATTTGGGGAAACTACTAGTGGAATATATTCAATATTATTACAATGTTAAACAATAAAATTTCAGATAAAACATGAACTAAATAAAACTATTTTTATTATATATATTCATATGTGCAGAGGGAACTGGTATTTTTTAATTTAAAGTTCTTGTCTGGAGTATTGATACTTGGGTACTAAAAATAACTTATGACAAAACTCTGATTAAAACCTAAATAGCTTAAGATGAAACCCTAGCTTAAAACTACCCAATTGCTTATTATTCATGAAGAAATATATTAACATGACATATATTATCCACGGACTTAGATAGCAAATCTTATTCCATGGATAAACATAATTTATTTCAATATCGAGTGGTAGCAAGAGTTGCTTCCCTTGCACCGTAGCTCTCCTCTGTTGAGTGACCTAATTATGCATCAAGAATAACTTCCATGTTGGCCAGGTTCATTGCCCTGCGATTTACTGCTGTTTCTTGATAACAATGAACAGAAGACTACACGAAATAGACAAAGACCGTAAGTTCTATTAACCTTCTTCACATATGTTTATCAACGGAATGATTATATACCCGATTTGTGTTTATAACCGACAGATCAATTTCGTACCAAGTGTCAACATTCGTCGGTGATTTTATCAAAATATTCAGACAGAAAAAAACGTCTGCTTTTCTTGAAAGGCAATATGTATCTTTCAAAATATCAAGGGTTTCCAGGAGAAAATATACAGTTTCTTTCGTCATTATTAAGACTGATATATGAGTTGAATAGCTTTGCGTGTGTTTCAGTTACCGTTACCGTGAATGTTTTGTTGCTTTAGTTATCTCATTTTGTCCGTCAGACATTTCGGATTTAGGAGTGCCGTGCTGAACTCGGTTCATCAATCAATTTCAAACGGAATGCAAAAAACATCACTTGGGTCGTTACTCTCATTGACCATGTTTTGTATCTCATGCTAAACTCAATTTTCGATTGAAAGCATAATGGCTCCTGCATGTATTATGTCACAAATTAAAATATTAATTAATAATTAACACTAACCAAAAAGCGAGCTTCAGGTTTTTTTCAGCTAGAATAATGGTGTCTTAGGTTAGAATAATTCTTTTGGTTATTTGTCTTACTTGGATGGGTAAAAATAACAAATATTTCAATTTAAAACAAGGATATATCTTCTGCACTGAGCTCAGTAGGGTATTGTTTCAAATTCAAGTACAGACTGCTGGTCATGTGTAACAAACACCTTTTGTATGATAATGTTATCGCAGCTGTGATGTTCAGAATGACTGTACAGACCACAACTTCACTGAACGTATAAAGTTTTCTCCAAAGAATGATTTTATATGACCATGTTCAAGTTAGTTTACATTGATTGTTAATTATATAACTGTCAAATTTGATTTTGATTTGGCCTAGCTAGCATATATGTTTTTTCCTGCACACAAGTAACCACTGGGTATATTTCATACAAAGAATTGGACAAAGTTTGACATTGAGCAGAAACTGTTCATAATTAAGTAGCCAACTGCATTCTAATTGGTGAATGGAAATATTACCATTTCTGCACGATAAATTCCTTAAATTTCATTACATCTTGATGAAACTTTCCCAGCATCAATAACATATGAAAATCAATAAATAAACTTCATGCAAAGACTAGGGATGTGTTTGACATTGTTAACTTACCATACTGCCATTTTAATTGATAAAATGCCCTCCCCCCTCCATATTGTTTTAAAATAAAAATGCAATGATGGGCATATCAGTGTTACACGCCTGTTTGTTGGTCTGTTGTTAATAAATCACTGATTTTTTCTTTATTGATAAACACTTCAAAATACCATCCAGTCATCAGTAAGTTCAATGGTGTAACATTATCCTGTTTATTGGAATAATTGCACTAATATGACACAGTGTCTAATTAATGCCTCTGCATCCACTCATGTATTTTAATATATTGATATCAAAATTGAATGTATTATTTTTTTTAGAATCTGCAGATTCAAATAAACATTGTAAAAGTGTTTTCAATAAGATTTTGGTAAAGAAGGCATTTTAAAAAAAAAAGGCAATATATATTAATAACAACACTGCACGTGACATTTCAAGACTTATTGGTCAAACGGTGTATGTCTGATGACAGAGAAGTAACCAGTCACAAATGGAGTAATTTTTATTTATGACACTTTGCTAAATAATTATAATATATATGAATGAACCAGAATATAATATATATGAAGATTAATTTTGGTATGTTACTGGTATTGATAAACCCCAAACTGTAACACTGCAACCAGCTGGGTTTCTTCAATTTTATTGACGTGTAGACGTAATAAATCAAAATTTCAAGATTTGTTCACAATATTATTATGCACTGATCAAAAGGCTCATGAAAATGTGTATCAAGAGGACACACTGACATATACAAACCAGATCAGCGTAACAAGATCGATAATATATTCAACTTAAGTGTACAAGATAAAATACTGTAGTACATAATGTGTTCCTCATATTACAATATTACTGCCATATTAATGACATCACTTTTCTTAAGAATGATGTTACTGTAGTACTGCACATCATGGTTAACCGTTTAACTCATTCACCCCTGAAGTCACATTTGCACTCTTCCAATTATAAGGTTAGAATAGTCCATTATGAAATTTCAGGGGTGAATGAGTTAAACAGAATAACAGGTATATGTTCTGTATTGTCATTAATGTTAAAATGCATTTCAATAGCTAAATGTACTTGCTTCAAACTACAAGGCAAGTTTTCTAAATCTTTTGCATATCATTTTCATTTCCTGACCCATGCTGTTACTGTCGGCACATGTTTGCCAAATTCAATGCTAATTGTGCATATCTGGACTACTGTTTCAACTATGTGCATCTAAATGATGCATTTAAGTACCGGTATGTGCAAATCTGTCTCCACTCTCCAGAATCTACATATATATATAACAGCATACATCACAACTTATCACAACTTTAATGGTTGAAGTATATATAGTACTAGTGATGTTGCCCGACTTGTAGTTGCAGGTCTACAAATTTAAAGTTAACATTCAGGGATACAGTATGAATTTTTCAAAGCAAAGTCCATTTTGGACAAGTTTTGAGAATATGTCTAGTAAGTTGTTTTGAATGTAATTTTATGTTTCATTTATTTTATATAAATACATGTACATGTGTAAGTATACTTAAAGACAATCTGTCACTTTTGAAATAAAAGAGAAAATTGAAAACAAATTCCCAAAATATCATGCAGATGAACTCTATTTGATTTATTCATAAAATCACAATCTGTTGTATTTTCAGCTTCGACCTCTGTTAATGAGATGCAGTACCCTCCAGATGTGAAGTCTGGCTTTGACGAGCTCTGTCCAGTGTGTGGGGATAAGGTTTCTGGCTACCACTATGGTCTCCTTACCTGTGAAAGTTGTAAAGGTAAGTAATTCTGTTATTAATCATAATTATGTCCAGGTGTTTTTTCAGGAAGAGGTTATGGGGAGAGGGAAACTATATCATAAGAGTAACACTTGAGTCAACGACAATGACCACTGCTAAGCGTCGTAAAAAAAAAAGTACACTTCAACCATGTAAATGATCCGTAGGGCATGTTTACTTGAAAGAACAGTTAACAAATTAGCATTGTTTAGAAGTGACTGACCTGGTAACTTGATTGATGGACACAAGTAATGTGGACACTAATATGGATTTGATTACCCAGACTCCTGATCGTGTGCATATACATGACGAAGGGTAACCAATTCAGTTAAATGGCAATCTAACTCCTTCATTATTTCTGTAAATTTTATTATTTCAAACAAAGTCCATTAAATTGCCCGATACAGTTACACTCTTACTAATTTCCAGATGGTAGAGAAAAGTTTCAAACTGTAACACTAGTGCTGTAGGACACTATGAACATGAACAACTATGTTTACAGATGAACATAAATAATTGGTCGTTGGGAGTTCTGTGCAAAAATATGACCATACATCAGATGGATTTCAAGGGGAAAAAACCTTTTGATTTCACAGGATTTGATCAATTGTGAGCTTTTGCCTTTGTGCATCATCATGTGTTCTCTGTTAATAAATATACATTTTCCTCTTCTTAAGAGCTTGTGAAGCAATTAACTCAAAATTCTCCGGAAATGTTTCTTGTGCAGTCATGATCACCACCGGTACCAAGTGTTGTAAATGTTGGTACCAATCCAAATTCCAAGATGGCTACGTTAGACTCTGATTGGCCGAGACATTTTCAAATTCTTCTCAAGAACAGCTACAGTAATTAACACCAAACTGTACCTTATGAGGCACCTGCCAGGTGTTGTTACTTTCCATGCCAATCCGAAATGTGCTCCAAAGCCTTTGATTTGCCAAAATATTTTCAACTTCTCACGAACAACTACATGATTGTCTCCTAACTTTGGTACAAAGTCTCCTTATGATGTAGTGACCTTGAGTGTGCAGATCCAAAAGTTAAATATGGCTGCACTGATGCCTGATTTGCTGAGTGATTTTCAAATTCTTCTGAATGTTCTGCACTCCTAAATCAGATCTTTAAAGAAAATTAAACTAAAGGACTTTAAATTCTGCTATTGTGTTCAAGCAACAGATTTTTAAAATCATTTCCGGTGATATCTAACTTGAGTTTCTTCTGGCCCTTGTACATCTATCTATCAAGTTTCAAAGAGTTTGGTGTTAGAGGAAAATGTGGTTTAGTCATCATTTTGCGGCAGGTGACATTAATTTTTTTCTAAATGTTTTCCTGATTTCCTTACTTTGTGCTTCAGAATCATGTACATCTGTGCTGTGCTATATACAAGACATGTTTCTCTTATTAAGAAAGGAGAATTTTCCTCCTGAAAGGAAGTCAGTTTTTACCAACCATTGCACGACTTTTGCAAAAAATTGTATCATTATTATTACTGAGACCCAAGATTCACACAGTGTATAGCGACGGAGAGACAAAAGAACACTTCTGAGATGGTATCAAAGAAGAATCAGTTTTACAGGGAGTGTTTTACTCACAACTTTCAGGCCTACTATAAATATCATTTATAAGACATCCCCTCCCTCTTCTCCCATCATGCATCCCCTATTTCAAAGCTTAGCTTACATACTTAGTATCTTGAAAATATGTTTATGACATGAGCATTGCAAGTGGCAGTTGGTAGTTATGATGTGTATTCAGTTTCCATGAAGTATGATGATATAACTATAATGATTGTGTGATGAAGAAAGTGTTTCTGCAGTGTGTACAGTATCATGTGTGAAGTGGTTATTCTGTATATGGTATATATATAGTGATGCTGTTTGTGGTGTTGTAGTGTGTTGGTATTATATTGTGATAGGTAATTAGTGTGTGGTAATACTGTGTGTGGTATTGTTAGTGTGTTGTGGGATGTGAGGTGGTTAACGTGTTCATTGGGGTTGTAGTGTGTTAACTAGTATAGCGTGTAGGAGGTGTGTACTGTGTTTACTAGTATAGTGTGTAGGAGGTGTGTAGTTTGTTTACTAATATAGTGTGTAGGAGGTGTTTACTAGTATAGTGTCTATTCTAGTAGTTAAAGTGTGTATTGGGGTTGTAATATGTGAGATGGTTAGGATTGTGGTGTGTTTACTATAGTATAGTGTTTATGAGGGTTAAAGTATGTTGTTGTTGTTGTGTGAGTGTTGGAGATAGTGTGTGTAGTTGAAGTGTGTAATGGCATGAGGTTGTAATGTGTGAGGTGGTTTGGGGTTGTTGTGTGTTTGCTAGTATAGTGTGTATGAGGGTTGTAGTATGTTGTTGTGTGTTAGTGTGTGTCACTGTTGTAATTGGTGTAGACTGGCTACCAGCCCCTAAGTTTTTATGAAGAATTTCTCAGCTGCATTTTACTACTAGTTTAGAACTTCAGTAGAACTAGAATCGGTAGAACTAGAATCGGTAGAACTAGAATCAGACATCCAAGTGATCGAAATTTTCGGAGTTATTTTTGTTTTCTTAATAATTCAATATTCTAGAGACGGTGGCCAGTCTATAATTGGTGTAGTAGTAACATTGTGTTTGTAGGGAATGTGTGAGGTGATTATATACTGTAGTGTGGGGTAGTTATAGTGGTTGTTTCTCAGTGGACTCTGGTGCTGACACGGCCTCTATATATATATACAGGCCCAGGTATATATGCACAGTGGTTAGATAAGCTACGTAACAGAATGATGAGATATGATTTATTAAAACCTGTCAATTACTCAATGCACCGGTGTGTGAAATGCTTCATTGTTGTAATTAGTTTTGTTGATTATTTATGAGGAAACTTCTCATTAATCAAACCTTCAAAGGCAATTTTTCCATGGTGGAATGGTAATCCTCTTTTATGGGATTTTGCATGTAATTTTTGCGATGGATATATATGCAACATTGTAAATGATTTGAAGTTACAGATTAGCACTTATTCAGGGCATGGGGTGCCATCTGTTGCACTTGTGTTGGTACATTACCTAGTTTCATGCTCTATATATATTTCTTTTGAAATCGTTGAGTCGAAAGTCATACAATAATACCTGTAATTTGCAGGCTGGCAAGATGGATTTGTTCATGTACACATATATATATATATATATATACAATCTAGATCTTCCAATTGTTTTATGATTCACCTGGTAGATGTGATTAACCGAATTTTAAAACATATATGTATGTGAAAATGCACTCCTATCTAGATATATCGGAACCGTTTTGAGTACACTAAGTATCACTTCAGCCATTTTATTTTTTCATTTTAACAGATCCCAACTCATTCACTAATATTTAAGATCAATCTGAGTGATATTTTCCCTAAAATTATTTATGCTCTCACAAATGACAGCATTAGTACAAAAGTTCAAATTGAGATAGCATACATGTGGTTTGATATCTGAGTTATGAAATAATTCTGCCTGGAATCTTGAATGTTGTCGCTATACCAACATTTTTATCAATCATTGGAACATGCCAGGAAAATCATAAGTGTCGGGAATCTACTAAAATTAATATATAATGTATAATTGTCATAATCAGTACCCCTAAATGGATTAGGCTTCTAACATCAGGATCATCAAATTATGTCAATGAAGAGGCCAAGGCCTTGTGTATAATAAATGTAAATAAAAGTTGTATATATAGGTATGACATACAGATGACATTATAATTTGACAATGTTAAAATTATTATTTTTGCTCAGGATTCTTCAAAAGGACAGTACAGAACAAGAAAGTGTACTCATGTGTGGATAACCGAAGCTGTCACATAGACAAAAGCCAGAGGAAACGATGTCCCTTCTGTAGATTTCAAAAATGTCTGAGTGTTGGAATGAAGCTAGAGGGTAGGTCTTTCTGCTAGGAAACACTGGTATATCTGTAGGGCACATCTATATGGCTACAGCATACAGATCTCGCAGAAGCCTGAAAATAAAATAAAACTACTGAAGCCATTTAAACGCTGTAAGATGTCCATAAAATGAGGATTAAAAAAATAGTTGACTCAACTTATTGTGTTAAATAAACTTAACTCAAATTTTGTTTTCATTTGTTCATTAGAATTACCTTTGTAATGGGATTTACAAAAAAATAACGTGGTGGAGATGTTGTAACATGTGCTGCAAACTTGACGTCGCCTAGATAAATGCAGCCATTGTTTTGAATTATTTAGAAGTCCCTTGTCAGTTCTATCCCCTGTGATGGAAGTAAATTAAAAGGAGCCGATACAGTCATTAAAATTTGATATTGCATTCTCACAGCTTGGTGAAGCAGAGCTGATGAATAATTGATAGCGGAGTCTGTGATGTAGAAAGCGCCCCATAATTGTGGTCATTACATAATTTAATGGTGGTGTTGTAACAGTATTGGTGTCAAAATGATAAAGCCATATGTTTTTCCTGGATTAGAAGACTGGTTTAAACAGAAACATTTTTAAGGTAGTTTACATCGTTTGGTGTAACTATAGCTTCCATGAACATCAATTTAAAACTTTCGTTAGAGTGGGTAATAAAGTTGTTTCGCGAATCTCGGCAAATGTTTTCTAACACATTTTGTTAAGATATTTCTAAGAAATGAAACCCTTTTCTAGTGTTCGGTAAACAAATTCCACCAAAAATTTTACACGAAAGCTCTCTCTATTTGTTTGCTTTAGTTGGTCATTTAGAATGTTAAAAATTATTGTTGTAGTTTTGCAAAACACAGCTGTAAGAATGAGTAAAGTGAGTCTGCGGTTCTTTGAATTCAGTAGCATTCTTTCTTGTATGAAGTACAGTTGGATTCAAACAAACAAGATTATTTCATTTAATTTAAATTTGCCGTTTTATTGTTTCGATGAAATATTACAATATTTTATTTGTAATTTGCCTTACAGCAGTGAGACAGGATAGAATGCGGGGAGGAAGGAACAAGTTTGGCCCGATGTACAAGCGTGACCGAGCACTCAAACAACAGGTGGCCAGGCAACAGCACCATCTTATGGCATCTTGTGGCATGCACTTAATGAATGGAATGGCACCTCTCCCTCCCTCCTCTGAGGACATTAAACCCGACCCAGCAATCCTCCAACAAATGGCGGCCAGTATCAATGCAAACATGGGTGGCTATGGGATGAACCACTCCCCTCTCTCTGGCATGCCCTCCCCTGCAATGCCCGACTCACCCCCTACAGATCTGAGTCGGGTGTCCCAGCATTCCCCAGTGTCCTCACCCCAGGGGCACTACTCCTCCCTGTCGCAGCAGACCTACCCTTCCATGATGACAGCATTAAGGAACAACTACAGTCCATCACAGCACCATCCTCAGCACCACCCCCACTCCCATCACCAGCCCATCCACCCGCCCCATCACCATCAACACCACCACTCACAACCGCCCCACCACCACCACCACCACCACCAGATGTCACCGATGGCTGCAGCGCCACCTATCGTGCCAATCGTGCCTCAGTTGATTATAGACATGAAAGCAAATTTGACTGACGAAAACGAAATATGTCAGAAACTTTTCTCATTTGTGCAAACTCAGTATGGCCATGAGGACGTAGTCAACCAGCCACTCAAACTATTGCAAATGATATGCAAGCTCTCTGACCAGTTGTTATTCCTCATGGTAGAGTGGGCGAGGACGTCAGTATATTTCAAGGAATTCAAGGTGAGAACTGGCATGTTAAAACTACTTAACTTAAAGTGATAAGTTTTATTGTCTAAAACTGTTGTTAAGATCTTTGCTTCATGCTAATGATTGAAAGTCATTTTCAGAAGTGTCATTTTACATGCATTATAATGTACACCAAGGATTGCATTAGTACATTTACGCCATTGCGTTAACTGTAGAAGTTACACGTATGTAGTTAGTTAGGTGTCCCGGTCTCTGCAGCTTGCTCATTTACATGTGTGATGCATTGTTATAGGTTGAGGATCAGATGAAGATGTTACAACACAGCTGGAGTGAGATACTTATCCTTGACTTGGCTCATCGGCTAGTCAGGGAAATATGGTCAGGGGAAGTCACTCTCGTAAGTTACACATTTAAAATTCTATTGATGTGGATTTTGTCTGTTTAGACATTTTCACAGGTCATCTTTAAGTGGTCATGCACTTCAAATAACAGCTACATTGCCTAAAGATAATACAAAGAATTACTTCATGTTTTGTTCAGTCTGGCCTATAACTTGATGCTTGCAAAATAATTTCCATACAAATAAAATAGATGTATTATCCACATCTGATGGACTATTGTACAATATGTAAGGTCCTCTGAAAAAAAATAAAGCGTGAGATTTGAATTGGAAAATGAAATGAAGGATGAAAAAGTACACATGTTTTATGTCCTGTCAATAAGATAACTTTGTAATGTTTTTATGCTTCAAAATGATTAATAAGAATTATCATACTGAAAGTAATTGTCTGTTTGGTCATTTAAGGAGAGTGGACAGAAGCTAGCCCTCGAATGTTTGGATAAGCTTGGCCTGGCAGATGCAAAAGATCGTATTCGGGAACTCATACGGAAGATGAGAGACCTAAAAATAGACGCTAACGAATATCTATGCCTCAAGTACCTTATCCTTTTGAATCCAGGTATGTCGGCTCAACGGTGGTTTCATATAAAAATATAATACATGTAATGAGCCGGAAATAAAATACATTCTTAGAAATGTACAAAAACAGATGTAAACAACAAAAGATACGTTTTGTATCATTTCACAACAAATGCATTCCACATACAGTGAAGCTATGGGATGTTCTTATTCCAAAACGTGCCTTTGCTTTTGGACTTCAAAGATTGTTGGCAAAATCCAAAAGGACTATGTCAGTGTTTAGCCTTTACATTATACCTGACACATGGGATTTGCCTGCGATCTAGTGATCCAGTTTTTACAGTTAAATTGAAATGGTCTATCAGGATAATAGAAAAATGGATTTTTAACCCCATTTTATTTGTTTCACAGATGTGCCGGGTCTTGAGAATCGCCACCATGTGGAACAGTGCCAAGAAAGGGTTAATGCAGCATTGATGGAATACTGTGTAAACTTCTATCCAAGTGTCAAGGACAAATTTGGACAGGTGTTGCTTCGGTTACCAGAAGTGCGACTTATCAGTATTCGTGCAGAAGAATTCTTGTACTTCAAACATTTAAATGGAGAGCTTCCGGAACAGACACTTTTAATAGAAATGCTACACTCGAAGAAAAAATGATTTCCCTTGTGCTTAGGCTAGATGTCTATGTGTGATATCGTTTATGTATATCAAGTCATATGATAATGAACATTGTTTGTGATGTCGGAATTTGTGTTTGTACTGCAGCATTGTATACGTTTTGTAAATACTGGCACAGATATAGTTCTGCTAGTGTTGACAACTATAGACTCCCAATGAGGTCAGTATTCAACTTGTTAAACCCAATACAAGCCATGTCATTTTCATATTGACATCAGATCTACTGCAGTTTTCTAAGTTAAAGAGTGCTCGTAGTTCTAGTGACAAAATCCATTGTTAATTATTTGTGTTATATATGAAAATGGATGTAAACGTTAAATCAAAATCTGATGGTGATCAATCTAGTGTTAATCTTTGTTCAGTGTGTGTATATGTTATGACATACTATTTATTTATTGACAATTTTTCTAAAGTTGCTATTTTTGTTTATTTTTTAGCAAATAATTTTCCTCTATCTTCACCTCACAATAGCCAAAAACGTTATCCTAGAATATGATAATTGTAATCTGACCTGGCAGGAAATTGGACTTTCTTATCAAAATTTATTTCAAATAACTGACAAGAGGTGAGTCAAAATGTTTGAAGAATTAAATGGATAGTTTGCATTTAACAACAAGCTGTTTCTTTCCTAGACTTAAAGCCGATATGTTATAATTCAATATCAAGTAATGAAACTCGCTTTGTTTACAGCTATAAATAGCTGTACGATACTGCTTGTTATTGTGTTACTGTAACTGCTGAATATTTATGTTGTTTAATCATTTAGCTGCTGATATTTTTAGTCAGAAGTTTTCAATTGTAACTGTTGATGGTGACGTTATAGTTACATTTATTTGAAAATAATTAGTTCTTCCTAATAGTGTTTGGTTTTTTATGCATTCCCTGTTTAGTTTCAGACTTTTTTTTATATCAAATCATTAAGAAATCATGTCTAAATTCATCAAAGTTTCAATCAAATAAGCAATCTTTTTTGTTGAAATTGTTAAGTTTCTTCCTGTCAGCATTATATGTTTAATATTGATTTCAATTGTTTAGTTGATGATATTTTTTTTTCCAGATATTTTTTTTTCCAGATATTTTTATTAATTGGCAACATATTTTAAATTTTAAAATTACGAATTCTGCGTATATATATATATATGCAACTAATTTTCCTTTGAAAATTGCAGTATGATGATGCCAGATTTTATTTATTAATGAACAATAGGTATTGATGTATTGGGTTTATTGCCCTGTTTTCATTATGGGTGCAAGGCAAAAAGTGCATATATGTATTTAACACATCAGGGAGAGACAGCTATCAAAATACCTGGCCCCTTTTTGTCCCCACTGTAAACCCCTACCCACAGGTAGTATACATAGTTTAGTGACTAGGGGACTCCCGGGGCCAGGTAGCTAACCCAGGTAAAGCAGTACAGACTATCAGAACTTAGGGAGCTTGTGACAACTAGGTGGTCTCATACAGGTTATTTACGTGATCAAACATGGTACATACATCGACAGAATATCAAGGTAGTACTCAATTATTTGTTGAAACCTTCAAGTTATAGGGCAAATTGTGATGTAGATATTAACAGCATGTTTGGAATCCATATATATATAAAAAAAATCTTTTATTTTTATTCTGATTTAGAAAGGAATATAAATGAATAGTTTTTGTGTATATTGTGTAAGAGTTGTAGTGAGAATTTTTAGTGTCTAAACATGCATGTTTGAAATTTGTGTTGTTCATTAGTGCTTTGTTCTAATAGTGCTTTTTATTGAAAGTTATATGTGTATATTATTGATATTTCTATTGTTGATATCAATAAATTTTGTGTACTTAATATTTGCAAAAATCGAAATTTCTGATCAATAAAAATGAAGAAAGTGAAAGTATTAACATGCAATCACGCCGTTTCTCGCACACAAGAAACATTTGTTTGCACTTTTGTTCTAAAAGTCAGGATACAAAAGAACCGATGAATGTCGTTCAAATTTCATTTCACTTCTTCAGTTTTGTTACAAAAACATTCCAAATTAGGTGGAAAAGTCATGTTAAATGCTTATATCTGTTTTATTTATTGTCAAACCATTTTTCTCTAGTAGTTATAGGTAAGTTTATGCAATTTGATTTAAATGGTGTTTAATGTGGCGTCATATATATTTCTAAAATTATGCACTTTGGCAGTGTTCATATTTTAGAAGCTGTAGATTTCAATTTTTTCCTAAATTAATCTCTACATAAAGTCTGGTACTATGAGATCTTGAAAAGCCAAAATACCTTTTTTTTTTATATCGAGATGTATTCATAAATCAACTAAATGATTATGATGTATTTTTAGATACAACTTTTCTTTTAAATATATACCAACTAGTTTAAGTCTTTCTACCCATGAAATATATGGGATATTTGTTTTTGAAAGAAAAAAAAGTTACAAATTTGGAACAATGAAATTGAAAACTTGATCTTTTGTAGTGGTACAGTTTGCCCATTAAGGGGAAGTAACTGACCATCATACCAGACATTCGAAGTGAGAAGTTCTATACATGTGTGTGTACATACCAGTATTTTACTATGCTACAGTGCTAATTGTTTATGTGATGTTGAGAGAATGTGCCATTTTTTATGAAATAGTGTAAGTTGATGTTAAGTCGCTGCACCTTGGTTTTTTTTAAAGATGAATTGATCAATTTTAAGCATACATGATGTGTGCTATTTGTGAGTGCTTAATAAAACCTATTGAGTCATTGAATATAAAGTTTTAAATTGAAATAATATATTTTCCCCTCTATGTTTTTACTCTATTTTGTTTTGTGTAGAAAGTTGTTTGTGTTGGGAAGACGTGAAATAGTCTTGGTCATGTGTTGGGAAGACGTGGAATAGTCTTGGTCATGTGTTGGGAAGACCTGGAATAGTCTTGGTCATGTGTTGGGAAGACGTGGAATAGTCTTGGTCATGCTGTTGTCACTAAACACATTTTCTCATTCATCTACTTTTGACATTTGAATATTTTACTCAGATATCAAACATGGTTTCTACATTTTGTATGTGATGTCTTTCAAGTAACTTTTACTTGATTGTTTTTGGGGTCTAAAGATGTTTCAGCGTAATGTTGGATGTGTTTTGGTTAGTATTTTATGATAGGATAACAGATATTGCATTTCAGGCAAAAACAAAGAGGTTATAAATCTGAAAATCGTGAAAGAGAAATCTTAATATTTTGGCGGTACTTTTCAAGGTCTGGTATGAATCTTGGTTTTTGGTCGATTAGTTGTTAACATTGTGGAATGTGCCATATCTTTTAGCGTTATCAGATATTTTATATTTGTATACAAGCATTTAGCTTCATCTTTATGCATATATTTGGTATCGTTTTATTTATCATCCTTCTATAGAGTATTCAGCACTGTCTCACTATCTTACGCTGCTACGGTGACAGCCAAAAACCAATGCCTGCAAGTTAATCAATTCCAATTCAGTTCCAATTTAGTTTTCGAGTCTTTATTGCAAACTTACCAATGTGTATGGTATCTTTCAATTTTCATTTCTGGATACAAAATATGAATGAGATCCTAGACCTTCAAGTTTACGTAAGATATATAAATCATGTACAAAATATGTTGATTCCTACAAGAATAAAAACAATCAAGATTTTTTTATTTATCTTTTAATCATTCTGTATGTAAAAACATGTCTGGCAGCTACCTTCAGGTATTTATACACTAACTGTGAATGTTTTTGCAACTCCAGGGAGGTAATATTTTTAAGCCTAACTGATTACCTATAAAATACCTGACATTTCAATGGGATGATTTTATGAAATTTTCTTTCGGCAATACTTTCCATTGCATAAAAGATGTCTGGTTCTAAACACCTCATTTTAAAAAAATTGAAATAGAAAATTCTTATGAAGCGTGAGGGTCTGAGCTTTTAATCAAATGTTTTTGTTGTATTTAGTGGTGATAATGTGTTTGTCCTGCATACACCAAGCTCCTTCACCTACAGCAGTATCCCACTGTTGATGGCGTGGTGGAGGCCCCTACCATGTGATGTGTTAGTTGTAATGTCATGTTTTGTCACAAATGAATAGATGTTGAACCAATTGGTCAGACTATATGTATATAGAGATATATAAGAGTTGTTGGGCAAGGAGGAGAGAAACATTACTATTTTTGAACAGGTGTTTTTATTTAACACTAACATGTAGATATAGCTCTCGCCTACCTGTATACTTAATTTTAATATTTATTTAATTAAGAATTTAACCATAAAAATCATATCAACGATGAAAATGCATTTTCACATACTAAGTATTGACCATAAACTCTGTGTTTTAATACGAAGCATTACATTTTCTAGTGTATAGTCATATATGTTTATGGTCCTATTCTTGGAAGAGAAGATGAAGTCCCTAGACTGATGTTAGTTCGTAGAGATGCATTGGATACAAAACAGCAAGATTAAGTTTAATATTGAAAAGTGTCTGTATCAAATAAAGTTACTAGAACTCAAGATAAGAAAGGTAAAAAAAACCAATTCAATTACGCATCAAAATATTTATGCACATGTTCTGAATATAGTTCATGAGACTTCTCTGAAATTGACGTCATGTTAGGTCATGTGACCAAGACGGCTGATCATGTGATTGATCTGATTAATTTCCCATTGACTGGAATTGAGAGAGAGAAAGTGAGTGAGTGAGTGAATGGGCCGTCTGGTGCTGATGTTAGAAGTGTGAGAGGAAATTTGAAAATTGTTGGTTTTACTACTTTTCTCATCGTTTTCACAGAAAAATGTTATCAAAAGTGCTGCCGATTATTTTAATAATGCCCCTGTTTATGATTTATGATGTCGTGTCCAGATTACTCCGCACACATGAACACCTCCCAATGTGAGTACCATTGATGTTACCGTTTACATGGTTGTACGAAAGTACACAGATATTTTAATATGTATTGGTCTTTGTCTGGGCCTCACCAGACATGAAATAAAAAAAATGAAAATTATACATAACATTTTTGTTATCTTTCTGAAATGTGAGGAGAGAAATAATAGAGACAAACGAATGTCGTGTATGATAGTCGAGGCTAACAAGAGTTGACGTCTTGAAAATTTGCTGAAGGTAACCCTAAAAGGAAGACACTGGAACTTTAAAAAAAAAACTTGATTGTGAACCCTCTCAAATCGTTTCGGTCGAAACCTGGTTCTTTGGAACGGTAAGTGGTTCCTGCACCACATGTGTCACCAAGCATAATGTCTTTCGTTTAATCCATGATATACATGTATGCTAAACGATAACTCTGTGAACCATGATGGACACTGGATTCACAAATTTGTAAATTTCGACATAATGACCGTATATTTTCCGCATTGTAAAATGACGTCTCTTTGAAAGAAAACACTTGTATGTCTGAACAATCTGTTTGTATTCATGGCATTCCCCATATACGAAACAGATTCCAAAGAAGAGAATCAACTGTGACATCTACGGGCTCTTCAAGCAGAGGAGACTGGCATGTTACTACCGAGGACAAGAAAGCTAAAGGCCATCTACTTAATTAACTACTGAGTTGGTAAATGACTGCCAAAGATGCGTCTTTAAAGTTCTGTGGGGGTAAAAGGGATGCAAATAATTTTCGAAAATCATATTGTTCAAGGACTAAACAAAATTGTAAAAATAAGATTCAACAATTAGCATTGCTAGTTTAAATAAGCTTAACGAATTTAATCCTCAGTGAAATACAAACACCGCATTGAAATATCCTACTTAATTAAACAAAGATGTCAGTGACCGAAATAGCGAACTCTTCAACCTCTGTATTAAACAGGAAACGTTAGGGATTAAATCATAAAAGCTGTTCGTGACAATTATAGACTCGGAAGACAAAGCATGTTGTTAACAAATCGGGCAGAATCCAAGTCGACACGCATTTCATAACGAAACAATGACTCTAAAGTCTTGCCTGCATTCCGTAGAAGGAAGATTTTACCGGAAATATCGAGGACGACGTCGCAACAATAAATAATCTTGACATGTAATCAAAATTGCTGCAACGTCGACGATTCTTTCTTGACCGCATTAGGAATGTTCAAAATGTAATGTATTTCTGTATTTGGTTGTTAACTCCCACAACCTAAATAAAATGTGCGAAGCATTTTTCATGCTCCACAAATATATATACATGGTACTACGATCATGTTAACCTTGTGCACTTCGGTTCCTCGACATCCAGGTTTACACTCCCTTACGTTCAGCGCACTTTGGATATATTCTACATTAGTTAACGTAATATTAATGGTATATAATGACGAATGACGATTCAATAAAAAAAAAATGTTCGGCGATATTATAACATGACAATATCATTTGTGACCTAACTGAATTTTACGAAATGATATATCATCTAAAGTTCATTTGTATGCCTAAGTCATGAGGAGCTTAATTTCTCTTTCAGTAGCTGTGGGAAACATACCAGCCACAAATAAAAATTGACACCACTAAAACCTTAGTATAATTCTTCAGTAGTATATTTCAACAGATTGTGAACAAGAAAACGAAGGCTAAGTAACTTGGATTGATAGAGAACTTTACATGATGTATATTAACACCATCTGGTGTCACAAATAAGCTTGTCATACTATAAACATTGTAATTTAAAAGTGCAATGATTAATTTTACATGTCCAGATTTTTTAATAACTACGTCAAAATATATTACGAAAAGACGCTTTATGTAAAGGTCATTTACGCGTTACGATCACACCACCCATGGTTTTACATTTGTATACTGGTCAAATATGCTATCGGAACATTTTACTATGATACTTGAGGATTTCTCAAATCCACAACAATCTTTGTTTGAAGCCTCTCGACAGCTAGTAAAAGTGAAACTTTCTCAGCATGACCGAGCTATATTAATAAACGTTAGATGTTACGGCAAGAGATTGACAAGTTGTTATGCCGGTAATCTTTCTTTATGGAGACATCGTCCTTAATGCCTCACTGAAAACTAAGCTGTTTAGGTTTTGGTTTTGTTAAGTTTAACGTCATATTAACAGCTAAGGTCATTTAAGGACGTGCCTCCATGTCGGTTGTTCAAGGATGCGTGCGTGTATGCGTAGTAGACAGGGTATGTTGATGTTCCTGCCTCCTTCATCTTCGCTAGCCAAGGGTTACGATCCGGTACGATCCGGTCGTACCGATCCGGTACGATCCGGTTTCCTACTCTTCCTTGTGATAGCGCGGATCTGATGCCGACTTTAAAGTGCTATCTCACTGAAATACCATGCCGAAGGCACCCAGCACAGCATTCCGCCCGGTCACATTATACTGACAACGAGTGAATCAGTTGTCATTACCCTAAAATATGAACGTTCAGCAGGGAATAAGCTTACATCGTAATGTATCATTAATAATTAAATTACATTTGAATAATTCCGATATTTTTAAGGAGTTTGAACGTTTGGGTGACTATAACTTCTTTGAGAGAGATTGTTGAACCTTAATCTAACGTTTTAAACGTGCTATGAAATACAAACTGTTCTATAAATTATTGTTATTGATAAGAACATTTTCATTTGTTTTATTAAAATGTAAATGCAAACTGTGCATAATTTCACGATTAATTTATTGAGGAATGATGATACAATCTGAGAAAATCTGACAAAAAGATAGGTATTGATTGGTACGTGTTGTAGAAAAAATATATATTTGACGGACGATTAATTAGGTCGATATTCATTTAACATCCCGTGTCGAAATCATGTCATGTTATTCTCTCCTTAGTGAACATTTCTTCCAAAAATCTTCTCATGATTTGGTACGTATTTCATGCTTGACTGATTGTCCTGAAATTTGTCTTGATTGAAGCATCTCTCTTGGGGTCAAGGAAAATTTTCCCCTCCATATCTGTATAGTTTGCGCATTCCTTTATGGCCGAGTTGGGTACCTTAGAAACAGAATACGAAGGCAATTAACAGCTGCCAATGTTATACAGAGTAATGTCTACTCAAGTCAAATGCGACTTGGTAATAATTGTTTTACGTTAAACTTTAAATTTCAATAACTATTTCAACGTGCGTTAAAATGTATTTTGGATTGACTCAACAGTGTAATGTTTACAGTGTGTACTCAGTCCAATCGGGAACCTCGGCACTTTTCGTAAACGAGAAAATACCTCGGGAGTGGAAGGCGGAGTAAAACAGACAAATTTTGTCCAAAAAGACTTTCCGGTGTAAGCATCAAGAAGTTAGTCGCGGGTATTTTCTGGTTTACGGAAAGTGCCGACGGTTCCCGATTGTACTCGGTCCTAGCATTGGCCATGAGTGACATATACTTTACATTAACCGAGTGAACACAACCCTGGGTGTACATTACATACCAAGTTTTGACTTTGACTTTACCTGGTGTAGTTTATACATCATTTGTTGTCTTTGAGTGTACTATATATCCGCAAATTTGTTTCCGAGTGCACTCTACATTCAAGCCTTGATTTTAAGCTGATTTTACATACCTTAATTTTGTTTTTAGGGGTAATTACCAAACATTTTACAAATCGATGTTCTACAGTTTAGAAAGATCATTCGATCATTTCCTGTACACATTGCCTTGACATTAGGCAGCAGCACGGCCCGGCGTACACACTTGTCATGATTTGCACACATCATGGTGAATAAAGATCAGAGGCTAATATGTGGGTCCAGATAAGAATTTCAGTACTTTGAATTTTGGAGAACACTTGTGAAATAATTATAATGTTACAAACCTCCAAGTATTTATACAAACCTCTATAAGATTCATCAAATTAGAAACAAGGGTTTAAATGATTGAATTCTATAGAATACGTGAATGCACGGATACTATATCACGGACAAAGTCACTGCTGATGTTCACCTGGTGTTGCGATATGTACCGGGGTTGATGGTCACCCGGTGTAAGAATGTGTACTGGGAATGATGTTATCCTGGTGTAGCGGTGTGTATCGGGGTTATGCAATTACCTCGTGTAGCGGTATGTACCGGGGTTATTTTTACCTGGTGTAGCGGAGCGTAACGGGGGCGACGTTTACCTGGTGTAGCGGAGTGTAACGGGGTCGACGTTTACCTGGTGTAGCGGGGTATACCGCGGTGATGTTAACTTGGTGTAGCGAGGTGTACCGGGAGTTATATTTACCTGGATTAGCGATATGTTTCGGGGGGTTTAGAATTGTTTACCTTGTGTAAAGGTACCTACCGGGGTTATGTTTACCTGGTGCCCCGGCGTATACCGAGAGTGATGTTTACCTGGTGTAGAGGTGTGTACCGGGAAGATGTTTACCTGGTGTAGTGGTGTGCACCGGGATGATGTTTACCTGGTGTAGTAGTATGTATCGGGGTGATGCTTACCTGGTGTAGTGGGGTGTACCGGGATGATGTTTACCTGGTGTAGTAGTATGTGTCGGGGTTATGTTTACCTGGTGTAGCGGTGTGTACCGGGATGATGTTTACCTGGCATAGGCGTGTGTACCGGGATGATGTTAAACTGGTGTAGTAGTATGCATCGGAGTTATGTTTACCTGGTGTAGTGGTGTGTACAGGGGTTACCGTGTGTAGTGGTGTGTATCGGGATGGGGGTAATGTTTGCCTGGTGTAGCGGTGTGTACCGGGATGATGTTTACCTGGTATAGGCGTGTGTACCGGGATGATGTTAAACTGGTGTAGTAGTATGCATCGGAGTTATGTTTACCTGGTGTAGTGGTGTGTACAGGGGTTATGTTTACCGTGTGCAGCGGTGTGTGCCGGGATGTTGTTTACCTGATGTAGTGGTATGTATCGGGGTTATGTTTACCTGGCGCAGTGGCGTGTACAGGGGTTATGTTTACCGTGTGTAGCGGTGTGTACTGGGGTGATGTTTACCGTGTGTACTGGGGTGTACTGGGGTGTACTAGGGCTAATTTTTACTTTGTATAGTGGTGTGTACAGGGGTTATGTTTACCGTGTCTAGCGGTGTGTACCGGGGTGGTGTTTACCGTGTGTAGTGGTGTGTATCGGGATGATGTTTACCTGGTGTAGGTGTGTACCGGGAAGATGTTTACCTGGTGTAGTTTTGTGCACCGGGATGATGTTTACCTGGTGTAGTAGTATGTATCTGGGTGATGTTTACCTGGTGTAGTGGTGTGTACCGGGATGATGTTTACCTGGTGTAGTAGTATGTATCGGGGTTATGTTTACCTGGTGTAGTGGTGTGTACAGGGGTTATGTTTACCATGTGTAGCGGTGTGTACTGGGGTGACGTTTACCGTGTGCAGCGGTGTGTACCGGGATGATGTTTACCTGATGTAGTGGTATGTATCGGGGTTATGTTTACCTGGCGCAGTGGTGTGTACAGGGGTTATGTTTACCGTGTGTAGCGGTGTGTACTGGGGTGATGTTTACCGTGTGTACTGGGGTGTACTGGGGCTAATTTTTACTTTGTATAGTGGTGTGTACAGGGGTTATGGTTACCGTGTGTAGTGGTGTGTATCGGGATGATGTTTAGCTTGTGTAGGTGTGTACCGGGGCTCTTGTTTACCTTGCCTGGCGGTGTGTACCGGGTCTGTTGTTTACCTTGGCTAGCGGTGTATACCGGGGCTTATGTTGACATTGTCAAGCGGTGGGTACCGGGGATGTTGTTTTCCTTGCTTAGCGGTGTGTACCGAGGTGATGTTTACCGTGTGTAGTGGTGTGTATCGGGATGATGTTTAGCTTGTGTAGGTGTGTACCGGGAAGATGTTTACCTGGTGCAGTGGTGTGTACCGGGGCCGTTGTTTACCTTGCCTCACGGTGTGTACCGGGCCTGTTGTTTACCTTGACTAGCGGTGTGTACTAGTATGCATCGGAGTTATGTTTACCTGGTGTAACGGTGTGTGCCGGGATGTTGTTTACCTGATGTAGTGGGATGTATCGGGGTTATGTTTACCATATACCAAGTTTTGACTTTGACTTTACCTGGTGTAGCGGTGTGGACCGGGGGTGTTGTTTACCTTGCCTCACGGTGTGTACCGGGGATGTTGTTTACCTGATGTAGTGGTATGTATCGGGGGTCTGTTTACCTGGCGCAGTGGCGTGGGCCAGGGTTATGTTTTCCGTGTGTAGCGGTGTGTATCGGGGCTGTTGTTTAGTTATGTTTACCTGGTGTAGGTGTGTACCGGGAAGGTGTTTACCTGGAGTAGTGGTGTGCACCGGGGTGATGTTTACCGTGTGTACTGGGTTGTACTGGGGCTAATTTTTTCTTTGTATAGTTGTGTGTACAGGGGTTGTGTTTACCGTGTCTAGCGGTGTGTCCCGGGCCTGATGTTTACCTTGTTTAGTAGTATGTATCGGGATTATGTTTACCTGGTGTAGGTGTGTACCGGGAAGATGTTTACCTGGTGCAGTGGTGTGTACCGGGGCTCTTGTTTACCTTGCCTCACGGTGTGTACCGGGCCTGTTGTTTACCTTGACTTACGGTGTGTACCGGGGTGGTGTTTACCGTGTGTAGTGGTGTGTATCGGGATGATGTTTACCTTGTGTAGTAGTATGTATCTGGTGGATGTTTACCTGGTGTAACGGTGTGTACCGGGGCGGTTGTTTACCTTGTCCAGCGGTGTGAACCTGGGCTGTTGTTTGCCTTGTCTAGCGGTGAGAACCGGGGCTGTTATTTACCTTTTCTAGCGCTGTGTACCGGGGCTGCCGTTTTATGCAATTACCTCGTGTAGCGGTATGTACCGGGCTGGTGTTTACCTTGCCTATCGGTGTGTACCGGGGGGGTTGTTTGCCTTGGCTAACGGTGTGTACCGGGCTGTTGTTTCCCTTGTCTCGCGGTGTGGACCGGGGCTGTTGTTGACCTTGCCTAGCGGTGGGAACCTGGGCTTTTGTTTCCCTTGTCTAGCGGTGTATACCGGGGCTGTTGTCTACCTTTTCTAGCGGTCTGAACCTGGGCTTTTGTTTACCGTGTCTAGCGGTTTGTACCGGGTCTGTTGTTTACCTTGGCTAACGTTGTGTTCCGGGGCTGTTGTTTTCCTTGTCTAGCGGTGGGTACCGGGGATGTTGTTTACCTTGTCTAGCGGTGTGTACTGGGGCTGATGTTAACCTTGACTAACGGTGTGTACCGGGGCTGTTGTTTACCTTGTCTAGTGGTATGTACCGGGCTGTTGTTTACCTTGTCTAGCGGTGTGTACCGGGGCTGTTGTTTACCTTGTCTAGCGGTGTGTACCGAGGCTGTTGTTTACCTTGTCTCGCGGTGTGTACCGGGGCTGATATTTACCTGGTGTAGCGGTGTGTACCGGGCTGTTGTTTACCTTGTTTAGCGGTGTGTACTGGGGATGATGTTTACCTTGTCTAGCGGTGTGTACCGGACCTGATGCTTACCTTGTCTAGCGGTGTGTACCGGGGCTGATGTGTACCTTGTTTAGCGGTGTGTACCGGGCCTGATGTTTACCTTGTCTAGCGGGGTGTACCGGGCCTGATGTTTACCTTGTCTAGCGGTGTGTTCCGGGCCTGTTGTTTACCTTGTCGAGCGGTGTGTACCGGGCCTGGTGGTTACCTTGTCTAGCGGTGTGTACCGGGCCTGATGCTTACCTTGTCTAGCGGTGTGTACCGGGCCTGATGCTTACCTTGTCTAGCGGTGTGTACCGGGGCTGATGTTTACCTTGTCTAGCGGTGTGTACCGAGGCTGATGTTTACCTTGTCTAGCGGTGTGTACTGAGGGTGATGGTGTTCTATAACGGGGTTGTTACTGGCTCTGTTGTAGGCTGTCAGGAAGGCCCACCTCCTCCTGCTACTGGTATTGTCACTGCTCGAGTGGATCAGGTTACAATGAAAGTAAAGGGCATCCCCTGTTTGTAAATGATGAGATATGACTTCTGTTTAATAAATATTTCTTAGGGGAAATACACATGACAGACAGTAGACAATGTTTGAAAACTGTTTTGTGTTTTTTCCTTTGTTCTTTTTTTTTTATTCATAATTCTCATTTTTCTTTTTTACAATGTGTATTGATGCATATTTTTCTATTGTCCGGAAATCAAAGAAAAAATGTAGAAGTGAAAATTATGCATAATTTTGTTGCGTTGTAAAAGCTGGCTCAAGTTATATTTGTATTTGCTTGTTTTAAATGTATGTCTTCTATGTGCAGACTCAACTGCACTCAGACTGTGCATAGTAACAAATTTATTTTGTTCTTGCGAGTTTATATTTTAATAGATTATGTCTATATTCCAATAGCTAGTATACGTATCAAACTTATCTATTTTACAACAACTATGAAACAAGTTAGTTCAACTTATATAAATCACTCCTGATGGCCCGGGTGTTAGCGCGCGGGGGTCTTAATGTTGGAAGAAACTTGAGTACCCGGAGGAAACCCACGTGTTCGGGCAGGTTACTTCATAACTTTTCACGTCCGATCGGGGAATCGAACACCGCTTGCCTTGGTGAAAGGCGGCGAGTGTGTTATTCACTACTCAACCCGACCACCCAGATGTCTGAGATACCTGAATATAGATATAACTTTATCATGTTGCTTGCCATACGCGGTGCAGGAAATACGCATACCCTTCTTGAGCGCCTGGGGTCACTCCGTTTACCGTTTTTTTGGCATTCATGACGTTTCCCTTTTGTTTTAGTATGTACCCTGTTCCTATTTTTGTCTTTTGTATCAAATCTCAGTTTATTTGTCTTCAGCGTGTGTTATTTGTAAAATTGTTTTATACTGTAGGTAATGTGAAGATGAGAAAGTGGCCAGACATGTTATGATATTTAAAAGTACACTGAATATTCCCAACGATACAAAAGAGTTAACCTTGAGCTTTTCTCAATATTGATTTTTTTTTTTTTTTTTTTTTTTTTTGCATAATTTTTTTAATATGCCAATCTTGAATCGGTAAAAATATGCAAAAATGTCATTTATATGCAGGCTTCTGATATATCCGTTAAAAATGGACAGGATTGTCGAGAAATTTCAGGTTTGTAGTTAAAGGATAATATTAAAGATATTGTTCAGAAATATTAATATTTTGGTGAGAACTTTCGCAAGATTTTTTTTTTTTTGCATATGTTATGATGAATGTCATTGTTTTTTATTTAAAAAAAAAAACACACCAAAAAGTTGGTGTGATCTCCCTAAATTTTAAGTCCATGATAGGTCATGTTTAAAGACTCGGATTTTAGACATGCAAATGTTAAATTTTCAACATGTTCTGAAGTTATTTCCATAATATATAGCGATGTTGTCATAGCTAATAATAACGCAATAAAGGTAATTTTCTTTATAAAATAATTCACCAGCATTATTACAAGACGTCGGGAGAGGAATAAATATGATCTCTAAGCTTGTTTTCCGATTCATCTGAAATAACGTGTATGTATAAAATTAATGTTAGAACCATTATTATTGAATAACTTCCTGAATAAGCTAAACTAACTCAACTTAATGTTTGGAAATGACATGTTACCCCTCGGTATTAAAAGGTTATCTATATTCCTATGTCAGGCGGAGCGCTTTACTAGGTTTGGAGAGGTAAATAGTTTAGCAGATTGTGGAAAACAATACGAAGGCTATGCGAAATATATTGATAAATAGCTTAAAGATATGCCATTTCATTACAATCTGTGGGGTTAAAAATGAGCTAGTCATGTCATAAATATAGTGTATGAAAAGTGTTAATAACATCTCCGGCAGCTTTTGTAACGACACTCCAATGTTACAAACCGAACCTTTATATAGAGTGTATTTATTTATCACGGTGACTTGCAAGGCCCTTGGTTTACCATTTATATACATATACCGATAACTTACGTCTAAATATGTATGTTAACGGAGTATTTTCACGAAGCAAAACTATTTTGGTCGGTATGTCTCTCACAACTTAAAAAATAGGAATAGGCTTTGTATGAACGTAATTTTGAGCATCCAATTGAATCGCCAAAAAGATAGACATTTTATAATGTCAGTAAACCATATTAAATGTCCTATTGATGACTTAGTGAACGTTTCTATGTATCATTTAAGTTACTAAGGAAAACAAGTTCAAAAGAAACAAATAACATCTGAACTAAGTTAAATTGGGGTCATACAATATAAGATATCAGGGGTTTGAAATTTTTGGTAACTAAACGATCTTAACGATGTTTAATCTGAATACATGCTATATTATCTACCTGAAAAGTTATATTCCGAAAAAAATGTCTTATGAACATTTAATTTGAAACAACCCTAAAAATATGGCTCTGGGATATCAGCGGTGTGTCTGACCTGCCTCCATCTCGATGTACTGATGTGGATAGTGTTGCGCTATCTCGACCCTCCTCTCCTCATCCACAGCATACTGTTCCCTCACAGGCTTGTGCTCAATTCGGCCACATTTGTGTGAACCACGTAAAACCTGTGAAGGAAATGTTTATATTTATTCTATTTTGAGTAGTATAGAATATAAAACAGCCTAAATAATGCAATAAAATATCACACAAAAACCCACAAAAAAACCACATAGAGGGTATTGTGGTATGTTTTGACGTAACGCTTATTGTTCAAATGAAAAGTGAAGTGTTGCTTTGTCAACGCTTATTGTTCGTACTCTAATATATGAATAATATGATAGCATAATATATATAATAAATATATAAAATAGAACTGTGTGTTGACTTTTACCGTTTAATTTGTGTTTGTAAACAATGTGAGTTTTAACGTTGTATTTGATGATCGTATGAACGATTACACAGCGAACACACGATTTTATTCGTTTTAAAATATGTGTAATGTTATAAAATCGACAGCTCTAAACAGAAGCTAATATACTTATATATCATAATGTTGACATATTTAATCAGCTACGATTTTCGCAGTAGACATGTTATCAAGTTTAATGTATGAATAGACAGTTTTACCTGTAAACAACTGTTTTCTCTCCTACATGGATCCAATGCCAGAAATACAGTACCCATGTCTGGGAACAGACAGCCATTGTGATACCAATACCTTCAGATACAAACAATAAACAAATATTACGAAACATTGATTACAATACGATAAACAGGTGAACACAGGTTATGACAGCTCTACAACAAAAATATATAGAGGATATCTAACAGTGTCTTCAGTAATACCAAATATATTTCACGAGTGTGGCTAATATTTCGATATCTTTTACTTACGAGTGCGCAGCACGAGTGAAATTTATCAAATACATAAATGAATTAGGCACACGAGTGAAATATATTTGGTAATAATGAAGACACTGTTAGATATTCTGTTTATTACCTTTTTTTATATAGTGAAAAATATCACTTTTATAGAATTAATCATTTTCAATAGTTCACTGGTAAAAACGTTTTTTGCTGTAACACTTTAAATGCTGTATTCGAATTGTCAAACGTGTTTAAAAAGATAAAGTATTTAAAGTATTTGTCTGAGTACATTCTTCCATGTTATTGAAATTTACAATATAATTGCACTCCAAATTCTCGGAAAATGATATCCGACGGCGGGGGTTGATAATATACTCAAATCTGCCTTGTGGATTTAAATTATAAGTTATCGAGTGGTTGTTGAGAATAAATTACGTGTACTTTGGCTTTTAAAACTGTTAATTGCCCTTTCATGCGATAACATTTGGCGAAATGTTGCTATTTCAAACTATACATGGATACAACAACATTAACAGCATATAAAAGTGTGACATGAAATGTATTTCATAAACATAAAAAACGGTGGACAATCTGATATCTGATATAATCTGATTATATCAGATTGTTTAAGATGCAAATAGTTTGTAAGAACAAACATCTATTGCCACTGGAATGATGAGTTCGCGAGATAGTGTAAAATTGTAATATCAAAAAAATCTTAATCAATTTCCTTAAAACGTTTTTACAAATAATCCAAGTCAATTTCCTCCATACGTTTGTTTTGTAAATGCAAAACATCAAGCCGATGTTGTTTTATAGTTAATCTAGCATCATAAATTGCTTCTTTTTTAAAGAAGAAAATACCCAAGCTTAACTCGAACTCCAAATTGATGCAAATGAGGCAAAATATGAAGGACAGATTTCCACGGACCCGTAGTCCTGGTGCCACACGTGTCTGGCTCCTGTTCCGGCTTCCTTCATCATCAGTTTGGTGTGGTAATGGTATACCTCTCCTCCAAGCAACTGCAAATAATTGTGCCGAGTTATGTATAACATTTGTATGATAATTCCTGCTCGATCACATAGGTTTTCTTCCGGTACTCCGGTTTCCTTCCACGATAACATCCGGGCCAACAAGATTGAACAATAAAAGTTAAACTAACTTGTTTCATAATTGTTGTAAAATAAATGAAGTGTATATATATATAAATTCAAGTGATTTGAACAGAGCTTGGGTATGAACAACTGTTTTATGGTATGCCAGATTCTACAATCGACACATTCTCAATACAAAATAATGACACAATCAAGCAGAACTCTGGCGCATATTTGTCTCCAACATATGTGTATACCTAAATTACACTAGAGTCCTTAAAAACAGTCATATTCCAGTACCTTAAATTTTGTCTTGTTTGCGCTTGCTTAAGGACCTGTTGTTTCATGGAATGTTGGGGAGACACACTTTTTTTCTGGATTTGAAGGAGGATCATAACGACTCCCATATACCCGATATACCTGTAATACCTTAAGGTGGTGCTGAAAACAGTTACCCTGCCCGTTCACCTGGTTTATTTTGTGGGGTTCATTTTATTTTCCGTTTTATTTAGATATCTTCTCACTTTCTGTTTTCTTTGTATCGATTCCGGTTTTTTTTTATCATAAACATTGGATTGCAGAAACAACATAGGAAATGGAATACAACAATTAGATGGCATTGGAGACATCCTTTGATTAATGCCTTATATTCATACTTATAAAGATATTCAAGCGCTTCGATTTCCATAAGGTAGAAGGTTTCTTTAAAATCAAAAATGTTGTTTTTTTTTAAATTGAGGCAAAGTTCAGTTTATGTAAAATAACTGCAATGAATAGTTGGGAAGTATGGTATCACACACATACGGTCTATAAATATGGGTGATTTGGGTGGTCTCTTAAAATATTTGGTCTGTCCAGTACATTTGATGTTTAAACAATGGTAGCATCACTGATTATACACTAAAGTATCGGACACTGCTAAATAAAAACAGGATCTTTTTGTAACTCACGTTCGTTTCTTTTTCTTGTATATCGATGCTGTGGACTATTTTTCTAACTAATTCTGTATTTCATTCGTAGTCATCGTTGTTATTTATTAGTTTTTTTCCATAAACAGGATATTTGCGATTTGATTTCGCAAACGAAGAATAGGCAGAAATGTTTATTGGAACGTTGCGTGGACTATACACCCCTGTCACGTTTCAACGACTTCAAATGTTATGGCTTTCTAGTCAATATGCCACATGCTGTTAAGTTATAGTGATGGACATTTCCAGCGCTCTAAACTTAAATCGATATCTAAATATAGTGTTAGTGTATGATAAATTTAATACAACAATTTCATCGGCCACTCACAGCCTTATGTATTACAGGAGAGCACATTAGTTGTTCTTTATTATGACTTATCATAAAACGTCCTGATAATCATACATCTCGTAGACAAATTGATAAATATTAAACCTTTTCCATAATTCCTGCTAGTTTCTCACTCCTGGCCACCATTCCAGTGACGTCAGATCCCGGGTGAGACCACATGACTTTGTCTGTCTTCTTCCCTTCATATTCCTTATCCTATAAAATCGGAAAATGAGTTATCAGAAAATGAAGTGTTCATCAAATGAATACATACTTTCATTGAATCTATATGAATAATTCGAAAATATGTTTTTCGTAGCTCTTGTCAATATTTTGTAACATGAGATAATGTTCATACGCTGCTATGGTCAGATATACTCGAAGAAATAGGAAGTAAGTGCATTTGCCGGTTATCATTATCAAGCTAAAGATGATTGTTTCTGATAACGTAGAAGAAACGCTGTATGTTCGCAAGTTAGATTTGCAACACAGTTCCTGTGTAAATATTATTTGACAGGAATTTTGCTTTCTTTCAAACCTCGTCATCATATCATTTAAAAACAAAAATGTTTTCTAAATGCCCAAACTTACCAGTCACCAAAACAAAAACAAGTACGTACATAAGTTTAGGATTGATCACATGCGAACAGTAAATATTGATTGAGTACGTATATACAACGCATATGTTGACGTTCACTTACATAATATAAATACTTAGTGATGGCATCCGATCCCTTTATAGTTCCCTCTACCATAGAGAGTTCCTCTTTATCCAGTACTCCCCTGGCAAGATAAAGGATAGTTAGATATAACTGAGCGATATACACAAAACAACACATGTCCGTACTTAATATATTTGTATTAGATGTTACTCCTTATAAAAAAATTCGACTGGCCATCAGGAGAGACGGGGTAATTTTGTTCCATGAGAAATCATTTGGTTGAATAAAATAGAAAACAGATATACAATACCATTAATATGAAAAGTCAAACACAATCATTGGAGTCGTCACAGAAAGACTAAAATAGGATCCAAGTAGACCGAAACAAAACGAAAAACACCATTAATTTGCAGAATAAACATTTCGTTAAGGCCGACTCTGGAATCCCATAGTAGGGAAATATATCACGGTAATCACCATACAAATACTCGTATTTTGAAGCATATCTGTTCACTTCCTAATATTTGTTTCAATAATCTGAATGTATGACAAGGTAATCAATTACTTAAGTAAGTAGGATTTAAAAGTAATTGAGTAAAAGTAAAAAATAATTAAGTAAGTAAAATGTTACTTTTTTGTTTGCATGCATATAAAGGGAGCAGTGTGTGTTACAACTGTAAGTTTTGTTGCTGTAAGTTGTATGCAATCTCATTAATTTTTGTGTCTTAACATATTATTATCATCTGAATGAACTTCATAACAGTATATAAATGTTACCTTATAAGTATTCATAACTGAATTATATGTATCTATTTCTCTTACTTACATAAGAAATATGTACATATCTTCATTATCTATTTAAGCAATATGTTCCCTACCCTATAACTTACTTTAAACGGTATTAATGAATGTTGACAACTTAACGTTATCATATACATATCGTATTTTTAATTGATACTTGAATGCGAGTTACGTCCACTTAAATGGTTTCACATTAGCGATCCTAAATGCATTCTGTTGGTTCAAGTATATAGTTCATTTACAGGGAAAAGCTTTCATGTCGCTGGTTAATTTGAGTGAATTTCTACCGCTGCTATCAGCAATGCTGGTTTGTATTGGGGCGGATGTCGCTTGACTTAATTATGATTGTGTTTTACCGTTTCCATTACGTTCCAGGGCAATTTGTTTCCGTTTCTTTTACTTACCTAAGCAAAATATACCCATATTCGTCAAAGTCACGTTTTACCTCCGCCGTGACTTCAAAGTTTTCATCAAACTTGTACTCTGAAAATAATTTGACATTTGTTATTCGTTGTAAAAGATTATTGACCAGGGTAAATTGTACCTCTATAAAACTACCCTTGAACATATTGCAAAACATAGGAATTCAAAGGACATTTCAAATATAAACATTTCGTCATTATAAAACCAATCAAACTGAACATTAAGACTAACAAGCTTGCTACATGTATTAGTGATCTTAAAATTAGTGAAAAACACAATCTTACCAGCAACCGAGGACATACTGATGTGTTTATAAGTTGACAGTGCGATCTGGTACACACACTATCGTCACGTTATCGGGTTATATAATCACTACCTGTCACCGTATGTGTGTGATATCGGCGAGGTCAGGATATAGCCTCACCTCAAGTACTAATCTATACAACAGTCGGGTAGAAGACAAATAGATAGGTAACTTCCTACAAAGAAAACTTAAAAACAAATACTGCAGTAGCCGTGCATAGTTCATCCTCGAAGTTTTTGGGGTACGTTCTTTTACATTCTCTATAATCCTGTCAATATGTCAAGGGAGCAGAGAACACAATATAGCGTAAACCCTGAAATCTCGAGGATGTGAATAGTTAATACCAGCATCACACACATACACAATACTTAAAACTTATACTGTAAACGTTCATGTTTTAGCGGTAATCTTATTTTAGCAGTTATTGTGCTTGAAATATTGCGCTTATATCAATATCTTATTATATATTTTTTTGATTGAAGGGGTTGAAGTTAGCATCAGTTTAGTTATTGGGAGTTCGTTATCTGCTGCTAAGTTCAACCGCCTTTCTTATTGCATATTTTGTGGGCGTATAATTTGTAAATGTTCTTAAAAGTTGATAATGTGCCAAAATTTGAGTGTGCTAAAATTAGTTCGTTTACAGTGCATGTTTGTGATTTGAGCATTTCATGTGGGAAATAATCATCTAGATCTACATAATAAATCGTGTATTTTACTAAAACTTCTATCCTTCTTCAAAAGTATTTTATAAGTATTACACGCAGAAACTTAAAACCCATACACACTACAATTATCAATTGTCGCAAGAATAACACTGAAACAGAGTCGTCCAATCTTCAGCCATTTGCAACAGTCCCTGACCGTCTTCTGCAAATTGTTAAGGTAAATATGAGAGCAAAAATGCAAGTTTTAATCATCGCGACATTTGGATTGTTATAAAGTCATCATTTTAATTCCGTAATTTTTAATTTAAATACTTCTTCACCTCATCAACTTTACTCATGTAACCAAGCATAGTCTGTTACTCTCAATGGTAGAATGCTGCACTGTGTTTTTGCTCTGTTTTGGCATCTTGGCAATGTTTGATCCTAAAGGTGAGAGAATATATCAATCGATCACAAATGATATTGACTTCAAAGGTTCTATGTGCATAGGTAAGTATTTGTTATTTAGCAATAGGGCTTGTTACCTCATCTAAATGAATGTAAGTACCATCGACAAGAAAGGATACCACATCACCGACTGCACGACGGTATATCTTGCCATTTAGCGCATTGAAGTAAAAGGTGTAGTGTCCCCATTATCGCTACAAAAACGAGCCCCATTACATCTAAATAGCCACCAATAGTCCAGTTATCCCACTGTTTATTTATTCTGCAATTCAGTCGTTCCATTGTCCAGCCGCTTTTAGCTGACATTGGAGTGTCTGGGTGAATGATGCTCTACAGTACACAGTATGCCTGTAATCTTTTCTTGTAGTACTAAAAAGAAAATACAGAAGAGACATCAATTTTTAAGACACGCGAGGGAAATACAGTCTAACATCATTATCTACCACTAATGTGGTAGTCTCACTACCCAGTAAGTGTATTAGGCGACATATTGGATAACTTCTAAACAAAAATACACCAGTAATCGAGACGTTTGCCAATTCAACGACTATTGCTGGATCATCGGGACCACTGCATCACAAGCACAAAAGCTGAAATTACAGTTCAAACTGATTGCCATTTAAATTGTGGTAGGAGATACAGAATGCCGAGTTTGTCCATACAGGGTTCTTGTGTGGCATTATAGTGTGTAGAAAACAGCGAAAGGGGAAAAGAAGGGGCCTATAGAATCAGTTACAACTTTACAAATTAGCAAATTTTGGCTGCTACAGATAATAAATACTTCATTTAGTGGTGTTTCATGTATCACCTGTGAGAACTAAATCCAGCTGCAATGCTACAGTCAACCTCGGGGACTGATAGTCAACCAGCAGGGTCAACAACACTGTAACGTAAAACAATCGCAAGAAGGTCGATAGATTGATTGATAGGTTTTATTTTCCGCTTCACTACCGAGTAGTTCGGTCATCCAGCAGACTTGGTCGATAGGCATCTGTGTGATATTTATAGATATTTTTCTTACTGGAGAAGTGGTAATTCATGCCTGTGGAAGTGTTTGCATTACAAGAAGTACTAATGCTCTTACTGAAAGATATAGTAATTACAGGTAATGTCTATCTACGCAGGTAATGTCTCTTAACACAGAAACAAACCGGTAAATCAGCCAAACTGATGGAGTTTTCCCCTCTAAAAGGTCATCGGCACTGGAATAGGATTATGTGCTACATATCTTGATCTGAAATTCAGCATGACTGGTACCATAGTTAATTCTGAAATTACTTAGCTGTGTGAAGTAACGGGTTCCAAAGTTGTTTGCAACAAACCATTGTTTCATTCTACAAACATGTACACTTACAATGCTTCATCCTGTTGAATTGAGAACATGTAAGATACATCTTTTTCCGGCGATTACTAAAATAATAGATATATTCTATGAAACTTTGCCACAGAAAACTGATATCACATTTTAATAAATTAAGACACTGTAGCGTTGACTGGTATTTTCGGAAACATCCTGATATTATGAAGTTTGGGTTAGGTTTGGTTTGCTTTGCTTTGCTTTTATTTTGTTTAATGTTTAATCAACAGATAAGGTTATTAAAGGACATGCGTCCATGTGTGTTGTGTATGAGTGTGTGTGTGCTCTAGGCAAGGCATGTAGGTGTTTATCATAACTTTAAATCTTATATATGTTATACAAACCACAAGTTAATGTAATTGAAGATCTCCTGGATAATAAATTCTGCAATCGAGATGATCATTCGCAAATTTACATTGGGCTTGCTGATTGCTTTAAAGATAGGTGTTGGTCAGCCCTGGTGATGAAATCACGTTTGTGATGTTCTTTATTGCAGTAGGGCCAAATCACTTTTGCAATCGAGACAATCAATTGTAGAATTAAAGGATAGCAAGGGTTAGCACTGATGGCCAAACCCCTTTTAAAAGCACATGCAATGTTTCAACGTCCGTTAAAAATGTATTTGATGTAAAAATGTACTAGGCGATGGTCATATAGGCAAAAATGCACGTGTTGGTATAGCAAGATTAAATATGTAGGTACGGGAGACACTTTTATCACAACTATCATAGATAAAAGTTGAAGGCCTTATAGGCAGCCGTCAAGATATTGGTTATCAACGTTTATTTAAATGTTTCTCAGTCATTTGATAACGACCTCATTATGTGGGTTGCAATTGCCCATTCATAGTGAAATACGTATTGTCAGTTGTGTGACGAAGTGGTCGTACAAGTACATACCCACTACACCACAACAATGTCCCTAAATTCTGGTGAGTAAAACATCGTTTTGACAGATGTGTTTGCTTTTTAACATTTGAAATCTTATATGAAGCGAGTTACAGAAGGGTATAAGTATTGTCAATTTTGTAGTAAACTATGTTACATTTTACTGATATCCTGTGACATCTCGAATTGCAGAGTTCACCTTCAGCGAAAGCTTTGAAGTAACTGAAGATATCAAGCGGGTGTTCGACGGGAATGGATTTATACTGCTAAGGTGGGTGTTATATTTTGCAGTACTTTTGATTTAACTTAAGTCAACCTGTCCTCATCTACATTTGAATAAACATGCATGTGTATATAACCCATATATATGCACTGATCTACAATTAACAGGGAAAAATCAACGTATGCAACAGTTAACCTTGGCGCAAACAAATATAGGTACTCATATATGCATCAGGTTTTACTTAACATGAATATAAATTCTTCATGTTTGCAACGGATTTACCTTAACATAATTGTATATACGACCGCATTTGTACAAGAATTTTCACTTGACCTAATCATATCTACAAAAGGATTTTAGTACCGATTCCTAAGGAACTTTCCGCGGGGAAAAAATCACCAATAGCAACATAGATAGTTAAAATCAAACGAGGTGGGACCAACGTTACCTATATGTTACGTTTCTACTGAAACATATATAAATCCTGATGCATGCAGTAGTTTTTAGTTAACACGCCCTCGTAATGATATACAAAGGTGATTTTCTATTTTCTTTTTAAAACAAAACAGAAAAGAAAATGTCAATAAACGTAACTTTCGTTGTACGCTATCCTCGTAGACGCTCGTACATGCTTTGCACTCGTCTTAAAGCTTTTTTCTCCTTTTCTTCAAATACGAGCTCTGTTACATTTAACTTTGATTAGACAGAAATACGTTTCTTCTGACAATGTTAAGTAAAGAGTCTTTTGTTGACATACATAAACAATTGACTATTCCGTCTTTGCGTATTGCAGAGTTATCTTCTCTTGGGAGCAGGTATTGATTGTTACGTCATTGGTTTGTGCGAGAAAATTACGTCGTTTTCTCAAAAATTGATGACGTTACTCTCACAAACAAGTGACGTAACAATCAATACCTGCTCCCAAGAGAAGATAACTCTGCAATACGCAAAGACGGAATAACGGATTAAAAATGAACATAATTATATTTTCTTGTAATAATGTGTTTTTCCTCCTTAAATAGCAGGAATAATAATATATCTATTTAACAAAAGCATCTTACGAGAATTGGTCATGAAAGCATATATATTTTGATACTGAGGAAAAAAGTGATACATTGCCTAAAAATTGCAAAACACGAAAATTCTGAAACACTAAATTTTTTGTTTGTTTACGTTTTTTGTCTTTTTCGTTCTGCATGTTTTTTCTCATTCTTCTCTTTCCTGGTACAATCATCGTGCGTTAACGTGTTCACTCCTGACACGAACACGTCCTATTCACGGTTCCTTAAATCTAATGCACTGAAACGTTTCAGTTTGCATGCTGTCATTGATTTCTTCGTGTAGTTCAACCGATTAACTTCATGTGACATTAACATGTTGATTCGTCAGACGCTCAGCATAACATACCTATGTTAACTGTTATACCTGTTATATACTTAACTATAAAAGCAGCGTCCTTTGCTGATGGCTTTAAGAATTTACCTTAAACTTAAACTCTACCTTTATGCACAGGTACGGTTTTTTGTTGGTTTTTTTTTACCTTGCGTTTACACGTCTGCTTTCAACTATTTTCAACACCAGGAGAAGGAAATCATCTTCAACATTTATGTACTTATTTTCCCCGAGGTTTCACTTGGTCTGACATGTTTGTACTTCTTTCAGCAGAGGTTTAACAAAAAACATACAGCCATGCTTCTTCGATCTGTTATATTTGTGTACTTCTTTCTCCCGAGTTTTAACAAAAAACATACAGCCATGCTTCCTTGATATGTTAAATTTGTGTACTTCTTTCTCCCTAGGTGTCACTTGAACTTGTAGTTTTGGACTACTTTCTCCAGAGGCTTCACTGGAACATACAGCTGTGCCATACTCCTTCCATCTATGTCAGCAAGAACATGTGTTCCTTAGATACTACCGTTATTAATTTTACTAGAAATATACATATACTACTCTTTTTCATATTATTGTATTAGTCAACTTCACCAATAACATGCGAGCCACCTGAAGATACCTTTAACTGCGATATGCCAGTAACATTTTGACAGATGCTCATCAACTAGATATGCTATCGTTGAGTTACGAATGTGTTTTTGCGGCCTATTGTCGATTTCAAAATATGTCTTGTCGAAGGATATGCCCTCTTCCGGTACAAGATTTATCTTTATGATTGAGTACAATTTTATTTGAAAATTGATATTGTAAAAATGTCCAAAACATACTATATGTATACTATTTACATGATATTTCTAATTTTTCAGGGGCGTCCTGGACAAAGAGGAACTGTCAAAGGTTGAACACACATTAACTGGATCAGATGCTATTACTAAAAACATTTACCTGGTATGTTGTGCTAGAACGCGTAAATAGAAGATGAGAATGCACATCGAAACACATTAAAATGAAGCAATTTAGCCTCTTTATTTCATTACCTGCAACAATTATAATTGCCGGATTTGACTTTTTTTATCGTGTTAAAAGCTTGTGTTAATTTTGACACAACATGTCTGTAAAATATCTTACTTTTTGTGATGAAGGATACCCATGATGGTGACAGGAGGACCGACAAGATCATGTGGTCATTTCCCGGAAATGACGTCACAGGAATGGTGGCACGAAGTGAAAAGATTGGTGGAACAATGGAAAAGGTGATACTTACTGGCCCATCTCCACGATAGTCTTTGTTTTTATATCCCAAAGAATAATACGTGATTTAAAAGTAAACAATATTGTGTCCAAGTAATTGGAATCGTTTACACCGTTACTAGAATCAAATTTAGATGTGAGTGTTGTCCTTCATGAAGATGGCTTTCAATATATATTATCAGTTACTTGGAGGAGAGGTATACCACTATCACACCAAACTGATGATGAAGGACGCCGGAACTGGAGCCAGATCCGTGTGGCATCAAGACTATGGGTTAGATATACAGTTTTAACCCTCGATATAATGACCCTCGTTTCATTTGCCATCTCGTTTACCTCCAACATATTTCAATGCCACTTTTTTTTCTCGTTTTCTTACGAATTTCTTTATATATTTTCCTCGATTTATTGCCAAACACCTTTATAAAGTCAAAGTATTCTCTGAAAAAATAATGACATTATAACGAGGTTTTACTGTTCAGATATCTTAGACCTGTTCTGTTTTTTTAATAATATCTATTCGATAGTAATGATTTTTAGTCGTGCGGCAAGATTTTAAATGTGAATATTCGAAATCTCAATTTCTTTCTAGTACTCGCATCAAAGCAATATACGGGGAACCCTTCTAAACCGACCTCTGAATAATCTGAATTCGTATCGTACAGCAACAATCCTTTCTATCCCCGCTTTTCAAAGAAAATCGGGGGATATAAATTTGGGCCCGTCCGTCCGTCTGTCACGTTTTAGTTCAAGTGCAATAACTACGCTAATACATTCTGATTGCTGCTGATATGATTGTTTATAGTGATAGGGAATATGGGCGAAGGAAGCAACCCCTATGATCAAATGGAGATCACTCTTGTAGCAGATCCATATTTCGTATGGAAAATATCCTGTAATGGATTTCTAGATATCAAATAGATGAGGACAAATAACCGCAACTTGTCTTATTCCCAGACTAGCGAAGCTTAAGATATCAATCAGTCAAATATATATATGGTATCCAACGAGATTGTTGTATTAGGCTCCTAATCTACAAACTGGAAAAATGTGGGATCAAAGGTCAAATCTTAAACTGGATTAGAGCATTCTTAACAGGCCTATCCCAACAAGTCATAATTAATGGAACTCCATCAAATAGTCTGCCAGTACTAAGCGGGGTCCCACAAGGGAGTGTACTCGGGCCAATTCTGTTCTTGATATATATCAATGGCATGCCAGATGTATTAGAGTGTACTACAAAACTATTCGCAGATGACGCCAAAATATCAGCCAACAATTCAACCCCTGAAAATCGAGCTAGACTGCAACAGTGTATCGACAGAATGTGCCAATGGACAGAGAATTGAATGATGAAGCTGAATGTGGACAAATGCAAGCATATAAAAATTGGACAAAAAAAAAATACAAGTCGTCCAACTACACGCTGACGCAATATGGAGACACCATCGAAATCACTAAGGTAAATAGTGAAAAAGATCTGCGAGTTCACATCGACGAAAAACTATTTTTTTCCATACATGTCCAAAAAGCTCTTATACGACCCCATCTCGAATACGCCTCAACGATATGGTCACCGCTGTATACCAAGGACAAAATTACAATCGAAAAAGTTCAGCGAAGAGCAACGGAAAGAGTACCAACATTAACTGACAAATCATACGCTGAACGTTTAAGAATACTCGGTCTACAAACCCTGGAATACAGGAGGGAGAAAGCAGACATGGTCAAAGTGTATAGAATCCTTAATAACATCGACAAACTTGATAAGGATAAACTATTCCAACACTGCGAATACAGATCTACAAGGTGGCACTCCAAGAAGCTGTTTAATTAAAAGGCCCTACAAAAAGCAGATGACAGGAAACTTCTTCAGTAATCGCACTATTAAACCGTGGAACTCATTGCCTGAGGAAGTGGTCTCATCACCGAGCCTAAACTGCTTCAAGGAAAGACTAAACACGTGCTGGAGAAATCACCCGAGGAAATTTAACCCTTCATTTTGGTATTAAGACTGGATCTACCATTCCAATACCATACTTAACATCAAGTTTCTCAACTAAAAACATATAAGGATTGAGTTTTTATGCAAACTTTACAACGGAGTTGTAAACTTTTTATCTACACGTATGGGAACAACCGAGTGGAACTGTTTTTAAAAAATTGAAATCATATTATTACAATAGACATTGCTACACTACTATGATTAATGAAATAATAAGTGCACAACCGGAAAAGTAAGTCGCGAGTGAACGAAATAACAATGATGCATCATCACAAGTTTGAACTAGCTTTCATCGATGCCACATCAGCAATTCAGCAATTCAATAATAGAAATTCTGCAATGAAAGGTGTCGACAGTGACTTATCACTTGTGGGTTATTTCTTATACATATCATGTCTTTATACTTGACAATACTACCCCACATCATGTATCTCAACCTTCTTTTTCAATAGACACCCAATGACACAAAACCAAAGCATGCCCTATTTCTAAGAGCCCTTTTTTCTGTTTTGCCTGCTCTTAATTCTCCATACTAGCATACCATGTTCCAAGTAACTCTCAACAACAACACTTCATCTAAAACATGTCCCTACAGCGGAGGGTTATGGAATCCAGGAATTTACTTGTTCTTATATAAACTACCAAAATGAAACACGTGTATTCTGACATATTTTCTTCGATCACTTATATCGTTTTCTAAATTGTTTTAATAAGTCATGAAAAGGAGTGGTTTATATATCACTTAAAACGTAGTAATTGTAGTAGTGCTCGTAGATCTTTAGAGATATTGCGCGTTGCGCTAATTATTGCAATGCTAGGTCAAGATTCCTGCAGCATGACAATCCTCACTGATGTTCGGAAATAATTGCTAAAATATAAATAAATGTGATGTTATCTACGTTTAAATAACAGAATAATTAAAACCTGTTGGAAACTTTAGCGATTTTATTATGTTTAATCTGTTGCTAATCTATAATAGGTATTGGTATCTCTATGGTAACCTTTTCCCTGACATGGGCACTGTCTTCGTTGCCTTGGACCCCTGCAGGAGAGACAACAGTTGTCTACAGGTAAGCGATTTACATCACAGGAACATTTTACTGTGTTTCGGTAAAGGTCTTTAGCACTGAAGTATGTCAGTTAAACGTGCAATTATCACTGTTTTACAATCATTTTTGAACAGATTTAGATAATAGTTGAAATCAGTTACTCGCACTATAGGCAGCGATACCCCACGTGATATCCCGTGCTATATTTTTCTATCTCGCCCGATCCGTCTCGCATCTTTCCGTGACTTTTTGCAGAACTTTCACACAGCGATGTAATCATCTGTGGTAACGGCTTGAAATTGACAATCCGCATTATGAATATTCTGTTTTGTCGTTATATGTATTGTTTTTATGTTGTTAGATCCTTGATATTGAAGAAAAAAGACTATTATATAAACTGTGAAATACGTTGCCTTTTTGGAAGAACGGACTACAATTTACGCTGGAACAATCCAATTTAGTAAATTTAGTTGTGAATAGGCCATGTCTATATTAGGCCCCATACGGGGTACTTGTAGACTTAGCAAAATCGAATAGCTTTTCAAACACATCGGTGAATCAGTGTATTAAGTACGAATTGCGGTAGCGGTAACAAGTTACTTCGCATACATATACACACTTTTAATACAATGGTTGCAAGCTTGTGAATAAATATGTTTATACTTAGATGAAATAAGTATCTAACACGTCAGTTAATCATCGTTATAAGTACGAAAGGCACTACCAAGTTACTTCCTACAATCATATGCTTATGCATTGTTTATACAATGTTTCCAGGTCCTTAGGGGCTCACACAAATGCGGACGACTGGACCACCACAGGGTGATAGGTCAGATGGGATGTGACGAGGAGAGAGTGCGCCAGATACAGGAACACTGTCCCCTAGAATACATAGAAATGGAAGCAGGTTAGTTACTATATTCACGAATACTTCAACGTATGATATACAGTTTATATACAATATCATTTGATACACTTTTTATTTCACTCGCAGTTAATTTTCACACCGATATACAGGAAAGACATCAATGTCTGCGGTGTTGAATTGTATCAGATTGCCATAGTTGTACCGTTACTTCATCATATAATGATATATATGTTTGCATTAATTGCTAGAACATTAAGTACTTTCTCAGTATATAGTCAGTAGGGAAAATTATTATTGAATTAAAAATGTTAAAAAAATATTTGGAAAAAAAAGCAACCAACAAAACACGTGCGAAAATGCAAATGAGAGACAACCAAACAGTTCGGTTAAAGAGTATCTGAACAACTTTGCATCGTCATTATTGAGGTAAAGACTTACTTTTAAAAAAAATGGAAGTGTATCAAGACCAACAATGACCGGAAAACGAAGTTATGATTTTGTAATTTTATATCAACATGAGTTCTACCGGAAAATTTCATGTGGTCACGGAACAAAACTCGGTGGAGTTTCGCAACTAAATGCAATGAATAAAGTATAATTTGATAGTGTTTGTTGAATACCTCCTGCGATATATTACTTATGTCATTATGTTAGTGCTTGACAACAGTGCAAATATTGACGTTCGTCTGTTACAAACACGAAATACACTTCCATCAGACAATATATACCCTGTATTCCTGCTAAGATTTGAAAAACGTACCAGAGAAAAAACAACCTGAAATATTCCCCATGATCTCATTAAAATGTATGTGCTAGTTAATATGCATTATTTCCTCATTTGTATGCAACTTTATTCCCCAGGTGACGCCCTCTTCTTTCATTGTAATCTGATCCACGCAAGCAGTGATAACACAAGTAACAGGAGGAGGTGGGCCTTCCTGACAGCCTACAACAGAGCCAGTAACAATCCCGTTATAGAACACCAGCATCCCCAGTATACACCGCTAGACAAGGTAAACAACAGCCCCGGAACACACCACTACACCAGGTAAAAAACAGCCCCGGTACACACCGCTACACCAGGTAAACATCAGTCCACCGGTACACACCACTACACAAGGTAAACATCAGCCCCGGTACACACCGCTAAACAAGGTAAACGACAGCATCGGTACAAACCGCTAAACAAAGTAAACAACAGCCCCGGTACACACCGCTAAACAAGGTAAACATCATCCCCGGTACACACCGCTAGACAAGGTAAACATCAGCCCCGGTACACACCGCTAAACAAGGTTAACATCAGCCCCGGTACACACTGCTAGACAAGGTAAACATCAGCCCCGGTACACACCACTAGACAAGGTAAACATCAGCCCCGGTAGACACCGCTAGACAAGGTAAACATCAGCCCCGGTACACACCGCTAGACAAGGTAAACATCAGCCCCGGTACACACCGCTACATAAGGTAAACATAACCCCTGGTACACACCGCTACACTAGGTAAACATCAGCCCCCGTACACACCGCTTCACAGGATTAACATACCCCGGTACACACCGCTACACAAGGAAACACCAGGTAAACATTAACCCCAGTCACACCGCTCCACCAGATAACACCATCCCCGGTACACACCGCTACACAACACAAGTTAAATAACACCCCCAGTACACACCGTTACACAAGGTAAACAACACATGTGGGACACACACTACGCAGGACAAGCACAATATTACATAATCTTTTTAATAACAGCGTTACAGGGATAGGAAGAAGACACGACCAGCAAACATTCTGTTTCAGAGTATGTAACTGCTCTAAGTAATGGAAAGATGAAATAGTCAGTTGGACGTTTATCTCTTAATTCGTGATAAAAAAAAGACACAAGACGTCCTAGAAAGATATTATTTGGCGCCCACCATCAAACGATCTTTATGAGATCTACAAAAGACGATCTTTTACTATGCTCTTAATTTTCCATGCAAGTAATATTACCCAGACCCATGTTGGAAATCCTAAAGCGTGATCTTGTACATTTTATTTGCCACTAATCCACATTTTATTGTATAAGAATTGCATAACAATATGTAGATTAGTGAAGATTTGTAAGTTTTACATAAGTAGAAGTGCGTTTAATTGCATTGAGAAATACAAGAATTGATTGTTTAAGGACGGCCGGACTGACAGAATGACGGACGGACGACGGGTGATTTGAATAGCACACCATCTGATGATGGTGGGCTTAAGTCCCAAGTCAAGGGTCCCACATCATGTGAATGATAAAAAAATGTAAACATAGCAGACATATTTCTACAGCGTTCATACTATTATTTATTTACAGGTTCCAAACTCTGCAATAAAGTCATGCACGAATTACACGGATATGGATGGGAAGCGTTTCCTTGGACCGGAATACAAAGTTATTCTACCGTCAAATTAACAAACAAAAAAAGTTCGAACATAGTGCAATGCATATATGTATGAGGAAGTATGAGACAGAATGTATTACACGGAACCGGTTCATGACGCAAAGTACTTTCAGCATAGAAATCACTATTTCATCGTTAGCATGTATGTATGATTAAACGAAGCTTATTATTTCATCCTTTCTGTTAATTGATTATTTTTGTACATAATAATGCTTGTTTAGTCTTAACTTTTCTTGAGGAAGGGGTGTATAATTGCGAATTATGATCCAGATTTGTTTTAAAAACACTTTTCTTTACATAATGCTAATGTATGTTTATATAAGAATACACCTGAACACGAATGAAAAAAAATACACATATTGATCAACATGAATTTTTTTTTAAATTATTTTACATCTTTTACCCACTAAACGTTTTCAGTAGGTCCGATGACAAAGCGAGTCGCATTCAAGTTGTGTGAATATAAGCACTAAGGACCCTAACAGCGGATGATTGATGAGGTTACAAGTCAAGTATTGAAGAGTGAATGTGGAGGTTTAAAGTATCTCAATTTTTCATGAACACTTATTTTTGTAATGTGCTTCAAACAACATTTCATGAGAATGAACGTTTTTCAAAATGTACAAGAATCAATTTTCATTTGCTATTGTTGTTGTTGTTGTTGTTGTTGCTTGTTGTTGGGCGGGTCCAATAGGAGAAATTTAAGTAATTCTGGATCTGTTACAAGAGTGGTCTCCCTTTATTTCATGTGTTTTCCAGGATTTGGATATGGCACAAAGGGGTTTCGGGGAGGGGGGAGTAAGGACGGAGCTATAGTGGGAGGTTGGGAAGAGCTTATTTTGGAATAAGGGGATGATGTTTTCCTATTGTTCACACAATACATAGAATGTAACAAGGGGAGATAATCCTCTGGTATACTAGACAATGGATATGATCCAAATCTACCTATTTCAATATACAGAAAACAGAATAATGTCAAGACAAATAATCTGACTAGGATACATCTATAACAATTATACATTTGTTAAAACAATAGATAAAATACTGCTTACCCCAACTATGGGTAGAGGGTCAAGCGCTGATCCTTTTTATATTGAATCAGTCCAATCTACACGCATGAAAATATGCGGTCTGATCCTTTACTGTAATATCAAATGAAAATACTATGTCAGATAACTATATTTACAACTATGGACATTGTCTTCACAAAAACTGAGAGTTTAGGTTTCATCCATATTTTAGCCATATTTCAGAACAATACATTTTAACCATGAAAACTATCTAATCTAAACAAAAAGTATAATTATAAAGTATTCTTAAAAAGATGTATTACAAAGAAATCACTCATCCTAATTCTGAGTTACTCCGGGTATTTCAATTATACCATTTACAAAAAAATCCTAGATTAGTAATAAATTAAACCTATACATTTTAGAACTAATATATCAATATCAGAGAGTTTATGAAATATATAAAAATATGAAACTTACCATTCTCAATGATATTCTTTTCCAATAATACCCCGACCAAGATTAACACAACTAGTCTTCTCAAAAGGTCTCTTTCTTCTAGTTGGGTGGAAAGGAACTTTCCCTCCAAAAAGTATCGACCAATAAAACGTCGGGTCGTCCAGTCAAAGGTCATGTCAGTGTTGCAAACAACCCAAAGACAACTCAGTCACATGACTTTGCACGCACACACAGAACCATGTAGGTAATTACTATACTATACTATACTATACTATAGTGGAGCTACAGGTGAAGTATACCTGTGGCCACTAAATACATTATAAATCAGTGGTCCATAGTGACTGCTGCTATACAATGAATAGAAATGAAATAGAAATAAAACAATACAAATCATAATACTTAAAGCTTACTTAAGGTATTTCATACATGCCTTTGTCAGTGTAAACAGTATGTGATGGGCTCATAACTTTTCCTCAAAATGAACAACATATGGAAGTTGGTTGGTATACCCATGTCAAGAACAATGTCAATAATGACCTTTGCAGAAATTAATTGTCGAATATTTTCTTGATTTTGTCTGAAAAGTAATTTTTCAATGCAGAAGAATTTTAGTGGCGCAAAATTGCATTGAATATTATAATTCATGAAAACACTTACCTGTACATGCATTTCTGAAGTATCCGTGTATTGACCATTATCGAGAAAAATGTAAGAAAATACAAGAATGATGGCATGTATTTTCATTGGATATTTTACAATAATCCATGAAGCTAACAAGGCTATTGATACAAGTCAAGCCAGATTACATGAGTGAGAACCTGAAGGTGTTTTGAAAGGTGTACAGGTAAAATCGCACTTGCTTTGCATGCTTTTTCCCAACTTCAGGAAGCCTTGTTGGCTTTATGTTCAGTTGTGATTTATTCAGTGAAAATATATGCTGTTTTTCTGGAGATTCGACACATTTTTTTAAAAAAATTCTCGATAATAGTCAATAAATGGAAACTTCAGGAATGCATGTTCAGGTAAGTTTTTTCATTAATTCCATTATTCATTGCAATTTTGCGCCACTAGAATTCTGCATTCAAATGTTACTTTTCAGACAAAGTCAACAATATTTTCAACAAATAATTTCTGCAAAGGTCATTATTGACATTTTTCCTGACATGGGTATACCAACCAACTTCCACATTTTTATCATTTTGAGGAAAAGTTATGAGCCAATCTTATACTATATACACTGACATGAACCTGTATGAAATACCTTAAGCTAGGTGATATTTAGTTCACCTGGGTAAATGTACATACATCATACTTCCAAAGTAGGTGTGTTTACAGTTACTATCTGAAATTACATGTAAAGAGGATCTGCAGAATATAGTTCATTGGTAGAACTGAATAGAACACAACTTTAAGATAACAAAGGAGGTTATCTTCATTTTAACCATTTACCTTAAACATCTAATATCAATTGACTTTTGACTTTTAATCAAAGTGAGGAATCGCAGTGTTTCTGTATCTTGAAAAATCGGCATGTTCTCTTTTCAATTCTACCGATGGGTTAGGAATACACCATCAACTAAGGGAAGTAACTGCAGTCAGTCAGACAATCGAGATAGCAATCAAGTATGGTAAAAATCAGATGTGAAGTACTAATATGCAAGATTTATTAACCAACATACCATTTCTTTTTTGCCATGAGATTTATTTGCAAAAACAAACAATGAGTGTTGAAATATGCATGTACAGTACTAGTGAAACCTGCCTTATTGGACAACTTGTGTAATCCAACATATAAGTTGAATTACGCAGTGTGTCATTATACACAGGTTTTATTTGGTATTTGTGAATGGTGGACCAGATTCAAATCCAGAGTATAAGAAGCATGGCCCAAGATGTATTCATGGCCAAGTTTGTAGGACAATTCAAATTTTCAGTTATGATATTTACTTATTTCAAACTTTAACATAGTTCAAATTGAAATTGAAATTTTGAAACTATTACATTTACGTAATTGTTAAACTTTAAAATGTTGATAATGAAAAGTCTTAGGTGAAATCCAGCAATATGAATCAGGCATTGAGATATTGCAAAATATAGATGGGGATGCTGGACCAAGAAACCAAGGTAATTTCAGCATCCGAAGCAAGCAACCAGATAGAATAACCACGAATTGTTTATGAGCTTGGTTGGTCATGCACTCTTACTTTTGTAGAAACAGGGCTAAGCACAACAATTTCTAATCAATTCAAATATTTTATAGGTCAAACTAACAAAGCTGATGGACTGTACAAACTATAGGATTAATGTTTGAATTCATGTACTGCCCAGTTGAATAAATCTTCAGTGCAAGCACAGGGTCACGTTACAATCACACATATGCTATACTGATATGTGTCACAACACACATAAACATACACGTGTTTATGTGTGTTGTGACCCATATCAGTATAGCATATGTGTGATTGTAACGTGACCCTGTGGTGCAAGTTTAGTACGTGAAGATACAACAAAAAACACAGCTAAGCACAAAAACATTGATGAGGAAACTGGCAGAGTTGTAAGTTTATTTGCTTAGGACTTTTTGAGATACAATTAACACATATAACACATGGCTCAACAGAAAAACTTAAAAACTATGAGGACGCTTTAATAGCTGCCGGACCAGGAAATATAGGCCGCATTCAGGATCTGTTTCATGAATTGCAATGAAGAAGTCAAAACTTTTATCAAGTACATCTGTGAAAAAACCCGAGCCAAATGCGAAAGTTTGATGGTGCTGCTGCCAGCAGAAGAAGAGTGACACCATATAGGAAAGTCCTGCCTTTGTGACGTCCAACGCAATTATACATTGTACCACTGGGTCAGATTAGACAGGTAAACACTGTAGAAAATATTGTCATATTGTTTCAATTTAATTAGATTCCTTGCGACAATATACAAAAATAAACCCAGTTATTTACAGCAACCTGCTGCAAATGGAATATCCCCACAAAGACATCAATTAAAGTAAGATGTTTTCTTGTGAAGCTTAAGGGTACCAACAAGTTAAGATAATTACTGGGTATTACCTCTGTCACTATTGTAAAGAATTTGTTTCAGTCCTTTTTGAAAGGGTGTATTTCATAAAAATCCTAAAAATTGCAATGCATTTTACAGAATAAAACATGTTTTAAAATACTTGAAAATAGAAATAAAAAATGGAATCAGTTTGAAATACCTAGCCTAAAATCATGACCTTGACACTTGACCAATGTTGCCATCCAGAATTATAAATCTTAATAATTATGCAACATATAAATGGGTGTCAAATTTTGGGTCTGCAAACCTTATGAAATGTTGAAAGAGGAAGCTATACCTGCAGAACTTCTTTTTGGTTACTTTATTTTCTGTAAACAAGGAAGAATACTCAAAAAGAATTAAAAAAAAGTCAGAGTGGAACTCTTCTTTGTGGTACAACTCGGATGCAGTGGTAGCCTTTAACTTAAAAAATGTTTCCAGCAACAATACTTACCCCCTATATTACTTGTATTGTCTACATGTTTTATGCCAATTTAAAAAGGAAATATTAAAATCAGAATATTTGCTTAAATGGTCCAGTGTATTAAAAGATTTTTTTTTATTATTTGAAAAGGAAAAATACAAAACATCCATTAAAAAAATCATTAAATATGACATATCTAATAGGATAAGTATAGAAGAATAAGTAAGAGAAAGACAAATGAGGAAAATGAAGGAATAGGACATATGTTATTAAGCATGACCACGGACACGGACTTGGATAACATCTAATCTAATTCCGTGGCATGACACATTAAACAATTTGCCTCACTCCGCATAAATAACAAGGTTGATTATAAAAACAAAAATGTCATTATAATCAATGTGATGATTGTGGACATTACTTGGCATAAGCAGAAGAGGGTATCGCCAAGAGGGGCAGCTCACTTTCAAGGTTCGCACACAGGCCTGGCGCAAGTATTATACAGAAATAACTTAATAGATCTAGGCCCTACATTAGAATTTTTTTTTAAACTTCAGTGATCCACCTTTGCCCATAATATTTCTCTAGCTTCTTGCTTTATGGATTTGCCCATGTTCATAATATATATAAAAAAAACATCCTAGCTGTAATCTTTTTATTTACTCATATTTCTCTAGCTGCGATAACGTAGCTTCTGACGACGAGATTTTTTGTATACAAGTGCTAATATTTCTCCAGCTTCTGTGGGCGGCAACCCCACACGGCTTTGCTCCTGGACCCAGATCATGGGGCTACACACCCTTCATAAAATATGGATCCACGCCTGTTGCGCTCTCCATAACTAAAATTCATGGATCCACTCCTACAAATATCCGCCAGGTGCTGTACCGTATTTAACTCTATATTTATAATCATATAATCAGGGTCTGTCAAACGTGCACATTAGCATTCCTTTCACTCAAACGTGCCACCGACTTGGATTGCGCTCGAAATATAATATTACCGGTCAAAATGCTGGAATTTCTTGCAGATAATTTCTACTCTGTGGTGATAACCGTAGCCTTTTTGGTTATCATTCCGTGGGGAAAGAATGTTTGGATGACAGCAGATACAATGGTTTCACTACTGCTGGTGGTTGCATGTACCTTTTTTCCGGAGAAGCACTTGGATCTGCAGGTGCTTGCGACGCCATTATCAATCATGTATCAGAGGTCGCTGGTCGACCGATTCATTTTTTATCGGATATAAATTATGATAACTGGGACGCCTGTCGAAAGTATCTCGAAATGTCGTCATCTGACATTGTTTGATTAGTTTTACCCAGGTTGACAACATTCCCTCACATGAGAAGACCCGCCATGAAATGATAACAGAAATTAAATGCATGTCAACAGTGGTCAACGACCAGATAGCTCAATTGGTAGAGCGTCCGTCTTAAATTCGGAGGGTCCCTGGTTCGAATCCTGGTCTGGCCATGCACATTTTCTTTCTCCTGTTACAGAGTGAAACAACCTTGGGTAAACTGCATACATGGCGAAAATGAACTGGATCTCAGAAATCAATAAATATATATATAACAAATCAAGCAATATTCATTAATCATTAGTCTTTAAATTACTTAGATGCAAGTGCGCAGTTGTTTTTCTTAAAATCTATTTTTGAATTTAATAGTTTCTGATATGATTGCAATTGATGTCCCATAAGACAGGTCCAGTACACTCTGCCGATTGAGCTATATAGCTATAAAGACCTATATAGCTTTATACACCTATAACTTATAGCTGTATTGAGCTATATTTTCTCAGATTTCAAATTTCATTAAATTAAAGCAAAGTCGCTTAAAACAATAAGGTTTATGGTAATGTTGACTACAAAAAGCATACTGTTAGATGTTTATTTTCATTTTTCATAAATGTAAAATTTCCGAATTCTTTACATCATTTAAAAAAAAAAAGAATACTTATATTTAATGTCTTTTGTTATCAACCTAATGATACAATCTTCTTTTAAATGCGACTTTGTTCCGTTTTCCTTAAAAAAGAAAATCACTTGAAAATAGCTCAAAAGACCTATTTCAGATAGGTCAATAGAGCTATTATAGGTCTTTACAGCTATATAGCTCAATCGGCAGAGTGTACTGGACCTGTAAGAGGTCATTGAAGAAACCATGATTGGATTTTACTGTTTAAAAGTTGGTAATATAGTTTTTTGTGTTATCAGACGGACGGTGTGGTGGATGGCGTACATGTCCATATGTTACGCATGTTTGGGCTGATGGTATTTGGAACTGCAATGTTTGCTGCTTGCGCATTGATCACAAAAGACGAAACAGCGAAGACATCCGTTCTTTGGGGAAGGGTCATTGTACGTATCACAAAAACTACAGTTTTGCATTAATATCTACACATCTCTATGTAAACTGTTTTATTTTTCAGCTTTTCAAATTTTTGCCGTCTTGCAATTTTTAAATCAAATGCAGCCGAATGTTGATTTTTTTCTCCATATACTTACTGGTACTGCTTACTCTTTACATGATTTTTACCCCCATGTCTAACTTTCCCTCAAAAACAAAAAGGTTAAAAAACAAAAATTGCAACCAGTTGCCAATATCCACCACTGCAAAACTATGGACTCAATTCATATAAACATACAGGAAGATATGATCATAAACATCACCTAATGAGGTGTAAGATATAGCATGTCTTCATCAGTATTTCAGCTGGGATCATAAAACTTGGTATACAGGTACATCAGATGGATGGAGGTCATTACTATATCCTTCGCACATGTTGTGTTGGGGGATAAAAATTGAGCAAATATTTACCATTTTACAATTTGCCGTTTACAAGAACGCTTCGGTATCCGAAATTTCAAGTTGAATTACATTTTTTATCTAAATGTACACACCAGCCCAAATGGACTTCAATTTGTTATTAAAAACTATTAAGTTTTACTATAATTGTATTACATTAGCATCATGATTGGAGAATTGACATACCATTTTGTTTCAGAATCTAAGAAAACATACCTAATGTATGCTTCTGTTTTCACTGTGTTATATGAATTGATTTCTGAATTTTTTATTTATGCGTCTTGTTTATTTCAGGGAATCTCAATTTACATCTTGGATAGGATACACAGCTACAACAATTTGAAAAAAGGCACTTCATGGAATCCAGCGGTACTTATGCTTGCTATTAAGTTCAACATTTGACAGTACAGTTAGTTATTATTGCATTAAGGGATGTTTTTAATCTTCAATATTATATAAAACAAGATTATAAACAATAAAACAATTATGTGGTTATGGGTAAAGTCTAAATAACATTATACATGTCACATAAGTTACAAGATATGAACGGATTAACCAAATGATACACACATTTTATGAATTAACCATAGGAAACTACATGTGCTGATTGTTCTAAGGGAGGTAACTTGTAGTTTCAGTAGCTTCATGTATTTTTGTATTACGTATCCTATTCATATGTGATATGGTGTTTTTTGTCTTATCCAATGTTACGAAACTTAAACACATGTTCATAAACAGGTTTTCTTTTACAAGTTGATATTTCAATCTTTCTAAGATCACGTTTACGAAAACTAGAATATTAGATATCATCAACATTTTGCTTTATATAGGCACTAAAATTTCTTATTACATTGTACTCCCAATTGCAACGGTAGACAAATATGTTCTGCAGTGCCTTGTTAAAATTTGAATCGCCAAGTTATAGTGTCAACAGTGGCTTCATTTAAATGTATGCACATTCTTGATTACCTATAAGTCATTTCCATATATTTTTTTTACCTGGTAAATGCTGAAACGCTGAAATCTGCCTAATTTGACACCATATCAAATTTGTTTGATTAGACAAGGCATCAGAATCCAATGTATTAATTTGGTTATTTTCAAAAGAAATAGGATTGTAGCTGCATGTATGGCTGATTTGATTTGACAGGATGTCTAAATACTAAGGGGGTCAGATTAGACAGGTTCCACTGGATGTTATATATCCTAAGGTGCAATGTAAAGCATGATGTATAATTTTGACTAATCGCTCGATTTTTGTCGAACATGACGCAGATTTTTTAATTGTTGCTTGAATTTTACTACACATACAAATTGTGTTAATGGTGTCTTACTGGTGTTTTCTTTTCTAGGCCTTGTATTTTGGTATCTATGGAGACTGTCTGTGGTTGCTTGGTAACCTTATATATGCCGTGAGCAGCACAGATTACGGAGGAGGTAAAACCTCCCATGGATGGTTGAACATGTTCCTGAGCATTGATTTTGTACAGACCTTTCTGTTTGCATTCCTTTTCTTTACCTTCCCAGGACCAATGTTAGGCTTCCAGGTACAGTAAAAGCATAAGTGCCAAAAACCCTATTCAATAGTTAGTGATGGGCTGATGATCGATTATAATCGAAAATCAATCGGTTTGCCCTTTGCCCATTCCGATTATCAATTACAAATTCCATTATCGATATAATCGGTTCTTTATTAAAATCAAAGTGTTAAAAATTTTCAGTGTGAAAAATGTACTGAAAGTCATATATTCTTATGATTTTTACTATATGATTGATAAAACTGCATAAAAATTGCATGAAATCCATTCATTATTAAAGAACAAAACACAGTGTATAGTTAACAACTCTGTCTATTGATGTTATGGTAGTGTATAGTTAACAACTCTGTCTATTGATGTTATGGTAGTGTTCTCACTTTATTTTAGTATTCAGTCCCATGAAATTATGAACCGATTATGCAATCGATCATTAATCGGTTTACTACTTCCGATTACAAACCAATTATCGATTATGATTTTAAACGGATTGCCCATCACTATCAATAGTATTGTGGACCCACTTTTCATTGATTGCTTATTGAACATTTATGATAATTTCATAATTCATAATTCATTGTATTATCATTCTAAACAAGTAGAAACATGGAAAACACAAATAAAATTTGATAATGATAGTAGGAATGGGATCGTGAAATTTTGCCAGTAGGACCGGGTATGCTGAGATGAAGGGGTATCAGGTTTATTCTAAAGAATTACCTGATACATTTTCAAGGTCATTAGATGTCGGTATTAAAATATTTAAAAGTTTTCCTTTGAATAACATACAGGCTTAGGTTTATGATATTTGCACGAAGCCACTTGGGCAAAGGGCTTTCAGGTTTGTTGAGATAAATGACCTTGACGCACTTTCTTTATGATTGGATCATCGTCATAAAAGTCTTTAAATTTTGTCCATATAAATGCCTTTGACCTTCCTTTTTAGATCATGGGAGTTAAATTTGTGAAAGCTTTATTTTAAAGGTACCCAAAGCCTCTAGTAGAAATACACCATCAAGTTTTACCAATTTCAAAGGTTTTATGGGTAAATCAAAATCTTCCCACAAAATGGCACAAATACCCATAATTTATAAAGTAATAACATTAAGAGTATATTGTTAGTTCCCTTGCTTACAAGTTTGTTTAACTAATTTGACCTTGACCCACAAGGTCACAGATAGAGATATGTTTACCAGCTATAAGAAATACTGGTTCATATGAAATGAAAACTGAAATTAACTTTCACATTTCATTTTCTGCAGTAATATGCTACATGTTCAAACTGTATATGATTTATTTCTCATTTGCTTAAAAGTTATTATACAGAGAAATACTTTAAAAGCTGGTCATGTAAATAATTTATACTGCTATTAACCCTTTCACCACTGTAGACCATAATGGACTCATCCAGATCAATGCATGGTAGAGTCTACTAAAGTTACATAGGGTTGAAAGGGTTAAATGAATCTATTTCTGAATTCAGAAACACTACATCACTAAATCTCTATTGTTACAGTGATAAACTTGAATGTGGGTAAACACTCTTTAATTGAGCAAAAGTGTCCCATTTTCTTTTTTCAGTGTAAAGAGAAGCTAAGAGGCCTCCATCTATGCATCGTCCGTATGTTTGCAGCATTCATTTTCAATTCCGCCATCATCTCGGGAAGAGCTCCTAATTTCCCATCTATAACGGGAAAAATCAACTTCCTTACAATAAGACTTATTGTAAGTATGAGTTTCAGATTAATAGCATTATGAAAAACCAGGTAGAACATATAAAACAGATTTCATTTAGCAGCGAAATGGCGGACGTCTGATCTCTTAAAGGTCATTTTGAGTTCTTGATGACTAAGATTTCTTTTGAGGAGATATTTTTTTGGGAACACATTTTATCAACTAAAACATGATTCGGATCATTAAAAAACAATGTTTGAAACAAATGAAACATTATTTTGAAATAGTTGTACATATTTAAGTTATATTCCTAAACATGTTCTGTTAAAGAAAGCAGGCCACTAATGATTTCACTAATGAGGGGTATTCATTTTGATGCTAGGTGAACGCTCTGCTAGTGACGGCCCAGCTCTATACCCAGCTAACCACCGACTACTGGACACAGTGGCATATCTACTTCGGGATGGTCGGCATGTCAGTCTGGTCAATTAATGCTGCAGTCGGCTACTCCAAGGCCATCAATGCTATCAAGTCCAAAAAGGAATGACCGGTGTTCGTACGGTTATTATATTTAACGTACATGAAATGTGCAATCAAAGGATTCAGGTTTTGATTGGACTAAATACAAAGTTTGATGTGGGAATTTTTTCATTGTGTATAAGGATCACTGAACCACTGCCCGACAAATGGAACTAACGGATATACACTGGAAACCATTTTTCCAACTTGGCAATAGCTTTGATGAATCATTTCTTAAAAGAGACACACATCTTGTGGATCTTTTATGAATAATACAGTAATAAAGATGAAATAAACAACAAAAATCACCAACAGTGTTGGGAGTGTAAAAATGGGTCCAGAGATTTGAACTCTGGACCTCCAACTATTGTACCGTTGTTTAAACCAAGGCCGCTTTTGTAGTGTTTCATGTGCGTTTTTTTCTCTTGCATATTTTGCAATTTGACTTTCTTTATGGAGATTTTTTTCAACGTAGAAGTTTTTTTAGCTTAATATTTGATGTTTCCAACCAAAGTGCTGCTATCTTCAATTTACTTGTGGCCTTATTTAATTGATAGATACTATTTATATGTTTATCAATCTACAATAGATGCTTATTAATTATGCTGACATCAGATCAAGTTTCATTGATTACAGTAAATGATTACAGTGTTAAACCTCTTAATTTGGACAATATTATTTCAAACAATAATTTCAAAATAAACAATTTTCCAGATTATTGTAAATATTGCGACTATTTAGGCGGGCAGTTCTGAAAACCACAGTCCAGATTTTGAGATGTGTGATTTTTTTACTAACTACGATTTACTACTGGATACATTTTCCCATAACTGACGTTATAAGCTCACTCCCTCACCTACAGTTTGATAAAGTGTAAACGGGGAATGTAACTGCATACATGCTATACACAGGTTAAAAAATAAACCCTGCCATCTTGTGGAAACTTGAAGTGATGATTGCAATGTGACCTAGTCTTAATTCTTATTAATCGTAGATTTTTATTGACGGTGAAAATGTGTGAAATTGTCTATCATGGTATGAATGTGCTCCATTTTTGTCCGATTGTACAGATTTTTGTGACATATATATAGATGCACGATTTTTTGTCCTCATTGTATAAATTATCATCTAAATTTGATCTCAAATTTTATTGGCTCAAAAATTCTCATTATCATACTTTTACTCCAAATTCAAACATTGTGAACCTCAAGTGGCTGAAATATAAACTTTGGCAATCTTAGAACTCTTCACGGCTCTTTACTTGAATAATCAACGCCGTAAACCTCGTGTTTCAATTTATATAAATGACACCTCCATACATATTATAAACTTTATTTATTTTACAACAATTATTTCAACTTATATTAATCACTCTGGTTGGCCTGGATATAAGCGTACATACAGGTGGTCTTAATGTGGGAGGAAACCTTAATGTGGGAGGAAACCAGAGTACCCGGAGAAAACATGTGGTCGGGCAGGTGACCCCATACCTTTTCATTTCTGATCAGGGAATCAAACCCCAGCGGCCAAAATACAAGTAAGAAACAACCTCATAAGAGGATATGACTTTAAAAGAACAAGCCAAGTATAACCTTCACTTTATTGTACAAAGACGAGTCATAATATTTAGAAAAAATAAAGTAAGTATAATATCATTTTTTTTTTTTTTAATTTCTGTCATTGCTTCACATTAAAATAATCAAGTCAGGAAATGTGTTTGGTGTAAGGGTAGGCTTGCCTACAGAACAACTGTAATCATTGTGTTTGTGAAAATAATCAAGATTTTTACACGGAATAAAAAAAAAAAAATACACTAAGAATGAAATTTTTGTGTTTCTTTACTTTTAAAGCTATCAAATTATCATTAATTATATAAAGGGCATCAGTAGCTGTCAAAATGTGTACCGTATGGTATACACTTATCAGCACTGTGTTAACAGTTGAAATAATGCTCAAGCCTTTCAGGCATATAACTTAACCCTTTCACCCCTATGTAACTTTAGTAGATTCTACCATGCATTGATCTGGATGAGTCCATTTTAGTCTACAGTGGTGAAAGGGTTCATTCAATCTATTACTGCATGCCCAGGAAAGTTTCGACCTTGATTCAATTTTCACCATCCAAAACAAGGGCGTAATTTTTTCTACACAGCCAATATGTAGGAGAACACAGCATTTAATAATAATTGTTATTGATAACATGTGAAGGACAATAGTAACACTGGCTTGATATGAATTTTATAAAGGAAGAGTTGCAGTTTATATTTCAGTATAGGGGTTTGTCTGTGACCATGAATTATATTTTCATAGAAAATTATCTCCCTTTATTGCAAAGCATTATAGTCCAGAATTTATTTTGGATTCATGATATGGATAGTAAGGCATTAATTATTCAGGTATGACCATATAAAAAAATATAAAACCCAAAAAAGGTGAGTATCACTATGCATACTAAGTGCAGGCAAACATCATGACTACCAAGGGCAGCTGGACCTGTTGTATTTCCCTAAGAAAAAGAAAAAATCAACAATTTTGATAACAAATTTATTTTCCTAACATGTAATTTTTACATTTTGAATACATCTGGTTACAAATACCGGTACACATACATTTAGATAACATGCTCATCCTCCGGCATTGCACTGTATAATGTATAACACATCGCATATCAAATGATAAAGTACCCTGTTTATATATATGTACCCTTTTCAGGTCTAAATACATAAGTGTCATCTTGATTTGACAATTTGGAGATGCAAGGAGTTTATACATGGCTTGAAAATCGATTCAATTTCATTTGATATTTACACATCTTTCTAAATCTCATATACAGAAGCTGTTAAAGATCTAGGGATAGATACAAATACAAAATTTTACTGATCAAAAACATCTGTCCATATTTCATCAATTACATTGCATCTACATTAAATAATATACAATTAAGATGTATATATCTATAAAAATATCAATAATAGAACACATCTGAGACATGATTTTAAAATTATTAAAATAAAGAACACATTTGAGACATGATCCATAAAAACAGAAATCACTTATCCAAATTATTACTAAAATTAATAAATCCTTTCACCACACTGTGGACCATACTGGACTTATCCATATCAATGCATGGTCGAGTCTACTGAAGTAACACAGGGATGAAAGGGTTAAATTGACATAACCAATATAATGGCTTTTTCATGTGTATTTCTATAGAACGGGGAAAAGTATTTTCCATTTGTTACCAATCCTCTCATATCTACTACAAACCATACATTTCCATTCACTCAATAACTCTACAACCCAGGTAATTCTCGATCAGTTAAAAATCATCATATAAAATCATTATATAAAATCATTTTGGACATGATTGAACAGTAATATGAATCATTTATCCTGATTATAAATATCAAATATTAAATCAATGGTTTTTTTCTAGAGTAATGGACCTCTTTTCTATTTTGAGATAGGAAAAACTGCATATATATTGTCCATGTTTATCGTATCTGCTTCACATTGCTAGGAAAACTGAATTTTCATTGCAGTATATTCACAAATATGTAGCGCCACAACCTCAATCTAAATAAGGGTTTACTCCAACAGTGTTAGAGGTTTACACAGCGAGATACATCTGACAGGCACCATGTCGCAGTCGGCAAAATCATATCCGATAGAGAAAACAAGAATTCCACGGAAGTGGATGTGTCGCCTGCGCAGGAAGCTGGGAGATTACGAAGAAATAGATACACTTTTCATTTCAAGAAATAATGTTAAAAGTAAGCAATAATCATAGATTATGTTTTTGGATGGCATCATTTTGTTATATAATCTGTTATTCTTGGAAGAATACTCTGAGTTTTAAGGAACTTGCTATGGATACTCATTGTCTCCATTCCACTCCAATATGGTGTCCACAAGCAAGACCAGCATCGCCTCATTGATGCAAGTATGCTTAGCACTGCATGAAGTTTGAGTTTGATCGGCCCAAGGAAACTCAAGTTATCGCACGAAAACAGATTTTCTATTTATAGTAACAGTGATCTTGATCTTTGACCTTCAGACCTGAAAAGCTTGAGCAATCCCAAGCAAGCACTTTTGGTAAGGAAGCACTGCATGAAGTTTGAGTTTGATCGGCCTAAGGAAACACAAGTTATCGCACGAAAACCTCTGCAGACGCCGACGCCGCAATACCTATGTGTCACCAGCTTTTCGCAGGCGACACAAAAAACGACCAGCGGCCTCTTATGTTATAGGAGTACATTAGGGTTATCCCCTAACTGCCTTTTTGTTGGATATCAGATATGTGTTAGCTTCACTAATTTTTTACTCCTGAAAATATTGGTAAATGTTACAACCCTTGTGTAATTTATACATATTTGTTCTTCTTTGTTATTTAATATTCCTGTTTAAATATTGTACGTAAGTTGGGTTACTCCGTGTCGGACAGGGTTACTCGGGTGTCGTGCTGTAGAGGGGGGTGAAAGGCACTTCCTTGGATGGCTGTAACCTGCAAAGTAAAACACTAATCAGCTACAAACACAACTTAAGTTCAACATCTCTTAGATAATTTTTCTACATGCATTTTCAACAGCTCTGAATCAGTTAAGTAAAAGATTGCTCAGAATTGACTTTGTTTCTGAAGTAGAAGACCCCAATAAGCAATGTTTCCAGTACCGTTAAGTAAATACAATGTTTTGATAAGGCACTAACTGAAAAAAAAAAATCCAATTTTGAAAACTGCTGAAATTCCAAGACTTTTATTCACTTATTTTCATGTTTCTAAACCTTTTACACATTTTATAGTAAAAAAGATGTCTTCAACTTCCGCATCTTATGAGTTCTTGTTTGTGACTTATATGACTTGTATTCTCATCTTGACAGGTGTGCCTCATGGCTCTTGACCAACAGTCTCATGAGTTAACTCTGTTCTGTAATTTTTCCAAATTGATTTCTGTCAAAGTTTGACCTGTACTCTCACATGTGTTGTTCCTGTAGACCTTTGACCTGTAGTTGAGAGTGTAGTCCCTATTATACTTGACCTGTACTCTTTTTTTGTCTCTGTACTTTCACCGGCATCGTCCTTGTTGACCTATCTGTTCTCTAATCAATGTTATTTCTGTCAACCTTTGACCTGTTCTCTGACATGTGTTGTTCCTGTTGACCTTTGACCTGTAGTTGTGAGCGTAGTCCTCATTGACCTTGACCTGTTCTCTTTTTAATGTGTCACTGTTGATTCCTATGTATTGGTAGTAATGATCTTCACAGCAGGGTCAATAACTATGATATGGTCTATTACATGCTGTTGACATTGTATCGGCAATATGACATGCATTCTTCTAGCTGTTGACCTTTGACATGCACTCTCCCAAGCCATTGACCTTGAACTTGTACTCCCCCACATTGCTAGCCTTTGACCTCTACTTACCAGTTGTCTTTACTGTACTCTGTGTTGCTCTGGTCGTACATGTGGAAGGTGTAGATGTGTCGGGACTTTGCTGACCTGTTGTGCTCACTCTTGTGTACCACCTCGCCATTGATAATCACCAAGCCTCCTGTCAACGTAACACGCTGGTATGTACAGGTATCCCTCAAACATTTCTAATCTTCTCATACAACTAATGCTAAATGTATCCAAGATTATCAGATGAAAATCTTACACCAAATTATAAGTACAGCTGTAGTATGTGAAATAAATTATGGTCTCACAAGGAGTGCAAGCTTAAGTAAATAAGTAGTTCTATATCAAACTCAGTACTAATAAGGCACCAAAGATCAGTATTAACACATAAAAGCTTAAACACACACCTTTTTATTTGATCTAAAAGAACTGACCTGTTGAATCTCACTACATGATTGTCAGAGACAACTCTTATATAATAAATTTATACATTGTAGAACTCGAGATTTTTTATGTCCTTTACTTTTATGGGACATTTATATTACGAGCGCTAAATTGATCTGATTCTTAAACTGTAATATGGGGGGTCCTCCCCATTATAGATATACTGTATAACAAATGGAGGTTAAACACACATAAAGCACACGCTACACTTGGCAATGACCTACCTTTTTTGACAGGTACAGGTATGTAATCACAGTAGTCATACTTAGGAGCATCACAGGTAAAAACAGTGGTGGGTTCTCCCTCCTCGCCCATCTTTGGGTTACGGATCATTTTTCTGTTGCCATATAGCCCAGCTAAACACAAATCACAATGGTATCATACAGATATAAATTTGTGTTTTTTAAGAGCTACATCACCACAAATTGTAAACAGACTTTTTTTCTCAATATCCCACAACACCTACAGGTTTCATGTCAGCACAAAAATCAAGAAAAAATATAGATATACTAAATGAAAATGTGTACCATTGAATGAATGCATAATATGCCTGCATGATTTAACGATGGTATTTTTACCAGACACCCATTTTAGATGTCCATGCTCCATGACCTTGACCTCAGCTTGGAGATATGATCTTGGGTCAAAAGACGTGACACACCTTGTATTAAGGGCAAAAATTAGGTTTATTGTTATAAAAATCCAGCCAATGTGTACAGAGTTACAACCTTAATACCCACTTTACATGTAGCTGCTCCATGATCAAGACCTTTGAGATGTGACCTTGGGTCAAGGTCAGAACACATCCAGTTACAATGATGTAAAGTATGATCAAGGTCCAGTTAAAGAGTACTAATATAGAGCCTGTACATAACACTGGATGTACAAATAGTCTAAATCCTGTGTTCTACTGGAATGCGAAACATAATTAAGATTATTCTGTCATGATACCACTGCAGAACAAACATATCAAAAACCTACGTTTCTGTGAGCCTGGCTGGAACCAGAGGCAGCCATTTTCTGTGGTGGCATCTTCTAGTGCTATCCAGATACCGAACAGTCGCATAGGGTCAGTATACAGAAACGTCTGGTCCTGGTGAGGCACCACTGTCAATGAAAACAAACCAAGGTATCAGTATGAGTGGCACCACTGTCAATTAAGAGAAAATTCAAGTACCAGTACATTCCTTTATCAACGAAACTTAATTGTTTAACTTAATACTACTTAAACCTTTTCAAAAATGAGCTATACTGTTAAACAAATTGTATTAACTTAATTTTTTTTATCCAATACTTTGTGAGAGTTAAACTAAAATAAGAAAATATATTTAAATTTGAAAAAAAATTAATAACATACGTCTCTGATAACATTAAAAATAATCTCAGCAGCTAATAGGCTCATTCTGTATACATGTACATACAGGTACATCTATTTTATCAGGAAACTTTTACGACCATGCATGTTTTTGCAAAGAATAATTTTTTGAAAAAAGTCCTTTGATGAAATGGAGCAGAAGTGTTACTATCATAAACCCATTACAAGCAACAAATATAAACCTTCAAAATTTGGTTCTTATTTTTCACAAAGCTAAGTGCTGCAATATATTTTTCCAAATACGGTAATAACATTTGCTGAACATTTAAATGAACATACCTTCTCCTCCAATCCCAGGTTGCTGGAAAAAATAATAACATTTGTTGTTTAAAACCCTATATATGAGGAATAGATAGAAATTCTAGCTTTTAACTTTGTTAGTGATACATGCACTATCTTAAATTTTTAAATTGATTTTTTTTAACAGATCTTATAATTCTTTCTTAGAACTCATTTGATTTAACAGGCAATCATGATTACAAATAGCTCACCTTAAAGATGTACATACTCTGGCACACAACAGGGTCCACTAGTCCTATGTCGCGGGCAATGGACTTCATGCCTTCACTGAATGTTACCTTTCTGAAGGCAGGGTTGAGAACGTGAAGAGCTGAAACAAACGGTCAATAACAATCTTTGTGATATAAGCATGCATAACATACACTGGCAATACATGAACCACAAATGTGTTCAACCGATGTCACAGATTGTACAATTGCATTTCAGCTGATATGGAGGTCTCAGATGGATTTGGGGTAGGATATGAAAATAGTTATAGGAAAACATCTTATAATTAGGGCTATGCCATTAATTATTGATCAAATGAGGACTTGGGTGGCACCTGTATCTTTTGAGGATTTTGAGGGTTATTTTTTAGCACATTTGACATTGTGGCCTTGAGAGTGTGGCTAGGTCATTTATCTGAACAAAATTGATGGCAGTTCATACAGCAAGCTACATACCAATTGACATGACTCTAGGACTTATGGTTCACAAGAAGAAGTAAAACCTGTGCTAGCTGGTGGGGAACAGACCCAGGATGCTACATCATTACATCCATTCATCATAGCCTTTTTGATAGATAAGCAAACATTTCATTTGACCTTTGAACCCCAGAATAAATTGGATTATTGGCCAATGTGTAAGTGAGAATGAGTCAAATTTAAAAGAGAAGGAATTAAATCGAATGAATTCTAATCTGGAATACATGCTGAGTTCATGTCCAGAATGTATTTTTAAGTATCGATCATATCATGCTGAGTAAGACCTTTGAAATCCAAAATGATTGAAGTTTGTAGATGTTGCATTGGTAATAATTTTAAATAAGTTGGGTAAGAAAAATTCGTACAAGTGATGATCTGGGATACACTTTGAATAAACGATCTTGACCCCCAAAATGACTAGAATTCTTTGTCATTACATAAGTAATGATTTGGCTCAGAAACCAATATGTCTTTACAGACAGACAGATAGGGCTTTTCCAGTATATCTCATTTACTTTATTTCAGTACAAAATAACAAGTTTCCAACTTACCGTGGCCAATTTTATTCAGTGATATTTGCTTGTCCACTTTGAGTTGCCCTGAAAAAGTCACAGAATAGGTGAATTATCACTCCACAGCAATCAACACTTATGACAACAAGCACATTCTGAAATTCACAAAATATGTTCCATTTTTCTGACTTTGTACAGATTTTCATTAATATTTAATTGCTTTTCGCATTTGTCAGTCTTTTTGAACAAATCAGAGCACATTTTGAATGAGTACCTTTATCATCTCTTGCTCCATCCTCAAAGAAAAACCTGATTTTGTCGCCACTGTTCAGGAAATAGTCATCGCTTGTCTGTAAAGAAAGAGCAATCACACTCAAGATCTAGGAATAGCACAGCAATATAGGGGAAATTACTATTTTAACCTAGGGAGGATTATTAACTGTATTACTGGAAAGGACAATCAACTGAATTCAAATTATTGGTGAGGATTATTAACTAAATATTGGGGAGGACTATAAAATATACTATTGGGGAGGCCATCAACTTCATTATTTAGGAGGATCATTAAATAAATAATTGGGGAGGATCATTAAATCATTGGAAGGAATTAATTGATCAACTATATTATTGTAGGATCATTACCTGGTAACTACATTAATTTGGGAGGATCGTAATCAAATTAATTGAGAGGAAATATCTTATGAAATAGATTACTGAGATGGATCATCAACTAAAGTTTGGGGGACCATTGATAAATTATTTTGGAGTATGTGTCACTAATTAAATTATTGGGAGAATCATTAATAATACATTAACTTCACTATTAATAGTGCAGGTATATACATCAAGGCAGTTGATACTGACAGAAATCCCTCGGTGAAAGCCTTATTTAGCCAATATATATATCTCGCATGTGATAACAGTAGTAGTTCTTAAAGACACAGACCCTCTTCATCTCCAGCGTGGTGAAGACAGTGTTGTGTTCCTCGGGAATCATGTCGTCAACCAGTTTGTGGCAGGCCCGCCTCAGGGTGTCGGCCTCTTCTGCTGCCAGGAAATCCTCCACCAACAGGAAGCCATCCTCCTCAAACTGTGGACAAAATCACAATTCTGGGAACATGAGCCATTCTAAAGTAACCTTGTTAGAAAATAACAACAAAGAAAGCAAGGGCTCACATAGATGTACCCTACAACCCCCAAGTGGTCAAGTATGACCTTTAACACTGAGGAATGACCACCAAAATCAAAGCAAGTGCAGAACTTGATGTTACCATACTATGGTGTAAATATAAAGTAACTCTATTGTGAGGTTTTTGAGATCTCTTATAAATATACTTTGAAATACATATGGACACAGTGACAGAATGTATATATCCCCTTTTTTTCACTGTATCCTGGGAAATTTTCCCTGCAGTTAAACTTTTACCTTTTTCACTCTTTGTAATGAGGGAAATTTATCATTTCAGCAATTTTTTGTAATCAATATCATATACATAGGTAATCAAATGTGAAGGGCAAAAGTAAATTGCTGAGCGAATATAAATTTAACCAGCAAAAGTAGAAAGTTTGACTGGGTAAAAACTTCCTGGTGATGGTATAAAATTCAAGTAGGGGGTTTAATAATATGGTATATTTACCTGATTATCTTGGGAATAAAACACTTTAATGATAGGAGTAACAGATTTTTTCATAGCTGTGTTTAAAAAATTGGGTAATTCCAACTGAGTGGTTATGAAATAAATTACCTGAGAGTTTTAGTATAACAGTTATAGTTCATAATCTTCAAGGTGGAATATTTCCGTATCTTTAATTAACTGCTTAATTTTTTCCCCATATATATATTTCCAACAAGTGAAACAAACTTCTACATTTTGAGAATAAATACTCATTTTCAGTGCTGCAGCCATGCTAAAAACATAACGTCAAAATAACAGCGTTGAGCTAAATATGGTTGAAAATAAATTTATATTGTGAAAATAGCTGAAGAATAAAATGTCATCTTCTAGAAAGATGAAATTAATTTGAATTGATTGAATAAATAAATCTTGTCCCTTTTACTACTTGTATTATGGAATAGCTTATTGTGGGTGGGTGNAATATATATCGGTAGTTTGTACTGCTGTTTCCTTTAAAAAGGAGATTAAAACTGAACAACATGAGAGCACTATTTGCAGAAGTATTACAATAACATTATACACAAAATTAATATATATCTGGAATTTACCTGTCATAATAATTTAGCATCCACTAGATAATAATGTATTCACCGAACTGTCTGATCAAGTTATCTCTTGCTCATTAATTCCTTAATATAACTGTGAATTCCTACTACATTTTTTGTTTTCCCATACTGCACCTGATTATTCCCTCAAGTTGTTTTTTTTGTCAAAACATGTATCAAACTCCATGCTAAGATTGAAGTTTCCTTTGACAAAGCATGGTAGATTTTGAACTTGTTAATCACGCATTAATAACTCAAAATTAAAGCAAAAGTTTGTACTATTTTCCTTAATTTTAATGGAATGACTTGCTTAGCTTGTTGATAAAAAAAAAAAATGATAACAAGAGGCCCATATATGGGCCTTAACGGTCACATGAGTGCTAGGGTATTTATTTTTGTTGTTGAAATATGTACCAATTTGAGTAAAACATAGTTAAGTAAAACGTTAACTTAAGTTTGTCAGGACCATGAGCTGATCATTCCTAAACTGAGTTTCAGTTAAATCGGCCTATTAAAATTTGTTTTTAAGTTTGAAATAGTTATTTTCAAAATAGCGGCTGTGGCAGCCAAATTGTATTTCTGATTGACCCAAAAAATAACAACACTTTGTCAGGACCATGAGTCCATCATTCCTACAAAGTTTCAGTTCAATCAGCCTATTAGAACTTGACTTTATGTTTGAAATTGTTTTTCAAAATGGCAGCAGTGGCAGCCAAATTGGATTTCTGACCAACCCAAAAAATAACAACATTTTGTCAGGACCATAAGTCGATCATTCCTACCAAGTTTCAGTTCAATCGGCCCAGCAGAACTTGATTTAAAGTTTAAAATTGTTTTTTCAAAATGGCAGCTGTGTCGGCCATATTGGATTTCTGATCAACCCGAAAAATAACAACAGTTTGTCAGGACCATGAGTCGATCATTCCTACCAAGTTTCAGTTCAATCGGCCAAGCAGAACTTGACTTTAAGTTTGAAATTGTTTTTTCAAAATTGGGGCCGTGTCGGCCATATTGGATTTCTGACCAACCCAAAAATTAACAACATTCCTACCAAGTAAGGCAAGTTTCAGTTCAATCGGCCCAGCAGAACTTGACTTTAAGTTTAAAATAGTTTTTCAAAATGGCGGTCGTGGCAGCCATATTGGATTTCTGATCGACCCGAAAAATAACAACACTTGGTCAGGAAGATGTCATTAACCTTCCCATGAAATTATTAATGAAATTCCTTTGCCAGTATTTCAGCTTAAGCTGAAAATGTAAAATGATAACGGACGACGCACGCTGAGGTGACCTAAAAATATAAGAGTTACATCCCTTGGACTGTCCAAATATATAGGTTCATGGTTCATCATCTAGAACATGGGCACATGTCATTGATTTATTCCGTTTTAACTGATAAAAGAATCAAAGCTGAAATATAAAACTGTGCATATTTATAATCTGATTTTAAGAGATGACACATATATGTAAATACCATGATGTTACCTTCTGCACTTGTTCTTTGGTTAGCATCTTGTGTGCTGTGCAACAGAAATATTCTGGAAAAGGGTGTTCCGAATGTCGAATCAAAATATTTTAAGGATGCATGTTTCGTCAGATAGAACTAATTGCAACGTGCAGATGCTTTAAAATGTCAAACTGTAGTTGTAATCAGTGGCGTCACAATTCTCTCTGATTTTCTTTAATTGGAAAGTGAATCAATGCTTTTTTATTTAAAATACAAGTTAAGGTTCCAGATAAAATTCATAATCTAATTATATCACCTCCGGATGCATGTCTTGTGTCAAATGCGCCACTAACAAACAGTGTCAACACATACATATAAACATGTCCATTAGTAGCATATTTGGCCTCCCTTAATTCTAAGTTGAAAGAAAAAAACATTTTCATTTCAAATCAAATCAAATCAAATCAAATATTATTTATTTAGAGTCGGACAATTTGTAACATATAACATTAGCTCTAAAGAGCTATTTACCGACTAGACATGGATATCACAATATTATAGTAAGATACGTACAATGTTAAACAACTACATCTATATTCTAAAATCTACACAAAACATGCAAACTAAAGACTAAGGGTACATTCGCGTATCCGGTTGAAACGTTTTAACCGGTTGAACCTGTAAAGAAAACGACAGGTACAGATTTGGACCGAGGCTGACCTCAGGAAAATTTGGTACGTGTAGATTGAGGGGTCCAGACGTCCCTGGCCGAAACTAAACTGCTGAATATTGCTAGTTTGCGTTATTTCTTTCTAAAACAATGTCAAGTCACATGTAGTTTTTAAGATACGTTATGTAATTTAGTGGACGCGTGAGAGAAGGGCATAATATTCTTGATACATTGTTTTTTATTCTCCGAAACTGTGCATTTTTAGCTCTGCTTATAGAACGGTCCAAGTGTGTTCGTTTATCGTGGAAAATTTCTGCGCCACACGTACCGTTTCAACCGGTAACGCGAATGTAGCCCAGTTTATAACACAGAACGTGACACCACAGTACGAAGACATGACATGACATATAAAGCTAGATGTTCATGCCAACACATAAATTATAATCAACATGCTAAAAAAGAGACCACTGAAATTCATAAGAAAGCACTAAGATAAAAAAGGATAATGTAAAAGCAAAGCACTAAGCCTACAGTGTCCAATAAGCACTAAGTCAGTGTACAATAAGCACTAAGGAAGTGTCCAATAAGCACTAAGGCAGTGTCCAATAAACACTAAGGCAGTGTCCAATAAGGACTAAGTCAGTGTCCAATAAGCACTAAGGCAGTGTACAATAAGAACTAAGGCAGTGTACAATAAGCACTAAGGCAGTTTCCAATAAGCACTAAGGCAGTGTCCAATAAACACTAAGTCAGTGTCCAATAAGCACTAAGTCAGTGTCCAATAAGCACTAAGGCAGTGTACAATAAGAACTAAGGCAGTGTACAATAAGCACTAAGGCAGTGTCCAATAAGCAATAAGGCAGTGTCCAATAAGCACTAAGGCAGTGTCCAATAAACACTAAGGCAGTGTCCAATAAGGACTAAGTCAGTGTCCAATAAGCACTAAGGCAGTGTCCAATAAACACTAAGGCAGTGTCCAATAAGGACTAAGTCAGTGTCCAATAAGCACTAAGGCAGTGTACAATAAGCACGAAGGCAGTGTCCAATAAGCACTAAGGCAGTGTCCAATAAACACTAAGGCAGTGTCCACTAAGCACTAAGTCAGTGTCCAATAAGCACTAAGGCAGTGTACAATAAGCACGAAGGCAGTGTCCAATAAGCACTAAGGCAGTGTCCAATAAACACTAAGCCAGTGTCCAATAAGCACTAAGTCAGTGTCCAATAAGCACTAAGGCAGTGTCCAATAAACACTAAGGCAGTGTCCACTAAGCACTAAGTCAGTGTCCAATAAGCACTAAGGCAGTGTCCAATAACCACTAAGGCAGTGTCCAATAAGCACTAAGTCAGTGTACAATAAGCACTAAGTCAGTGTACAATAAGCACTAAGGAAGTGTCCAATAAGCACTAAGGCAGTGTCCAATAAGCACTAAGGCAGTGTCCAATAACCACTAAGGCAGTGTCCAATAAGCACTAAGTCAGTGTACAATAAGCACTAAGTCAGTGTACAATAACCACTAAGGCAGTGTACAATAAGCACTAAGGCAGTTTCCAATAAGCACTAAGGCAGTGTCCAATAAACACTAAGGCAGTGTCCACTAAGCACTAAGTCAGTGTCCAATAAGCACTAAGGCAGTGTCCAATAAACACTAAGCCAGTGTCCAATAAGCACTAAGTCAGTGTCCAATAAGCACTAAGGCAGTGTCCAATAACCACTAAGGCAGTGTCCAATAAACACTAAGGCAGTGTCCAATAAGCACTAAGGCAGTGTCCAATAAGCACTAAGCTGGAAATGACATAAAAAGCTGCATAGTAATTAATTCATTTACGATATATTTACCGGCAGAGTGTTTACTTTTTTGGTGGTTTCATTATTCATTTCTTTTATAGAATTAACTCACTAACTACCATTATTATCGAATTATAGATCATCAGTAGGTCACTGAACGGCAAATTGTAATCTCTTCAGTGGTCGAGGAGATCCTATATTAATTATTGTGGGTTATTTTCAACCATACTGAGTCCCAGTGCTGATAATATGATACTGTATTTATTCTTTTTATGTAATAATTTACGGAATTACATCTGAGCTATATGGTTCAAACGTCAAGGTAACTGCCATCTTCTGGTACTAAAGAATGAGTTTTCTACCATGAGGATACCCAAAATGCACAGGTACATGTGAATGTGCTACAGCTATAAACTAAGGTGTTCAGAGTAACTTTACATGTCTCAGAGGTTTAGATCGACTTTCGGTAAAAAAAAATCAACCCCAATGATCATATACAACACAGACTTAGCAATCCCTTGATACGAGCTTATATAATCCTTGAGGTTTCATTTCTACCGAAAGTCGACCTTAACCCCTAAAACATGTAAACTACTCTGAAAACCTTAGTCTAGGTCCAAATATAGCTGTAACAAAATCCTCAACTTCAAGTCCCTGTGCCTAAATTGAGCTATTTTTTATACCAATTTACAAGTATGTACAGTATATGAACCTCATTTGATATTGAGTCGAATCTGTGGGTATCCGAAGATCGTATTTCGTTATTAGCAGCGTTAGTTATTGTGGTGGCCTTATGCTGATACCCCTACTCTATATTCAGTGTCAAAAAAGAGAGGTTGAGATCAAGGTCATATCCTTGGGGTACAAAAATATCACCCATGGCCATCGTACGCTACTGTACACTGCTACCATAGATCGTTCCAAACCAATATATCATAAATTCCACCACGGAATTAGTTATCTAAGTCCGTGATTCAACTAACCTGTGGATTTTGGTAAAATAAGTGAAATGGGCATCTGTCATTGGAATGAAAATAGTAAAAGTAATCAAAGGAATGCATCCTTAACCTAATATTTTCCCGGATTTTATTGTTTTTAATTTTAGTTTTTCCCATTCGGAACATCTCTTGTGTTTTGATCCCAGCATATTACGATGCAGTGTCAGTTTTGGAACAATTTGAACATTCTGTTGCTCTGAAGGAAAGTTTCCAAAGGTTTGTTTTCCGTAATAATCGTTTTGTTGTATTATATTGCTTTCAAATAGTTCGAAATAACACAGACACATCAGCAAGGGAAAGGCTATTCAACGGCCAGAGACGTATATAACATTATATACGTCTCTGAGTTGGCCTTCCATTTCGCAGAAAAGTTTGTGGTGTCGATACTGTGAACAAGTCCAGGAACACACATCTGGATCATCATCTGGCCTGTGAGTTGACCAATGTATTCACTTGAATCGCATCGTACAGGAACATAAGAATTAAAAACAGCCATGAGGTCTAATCGTTGACGATTCTCTATACTCAGCTGGGCTAAAGGGAAATTCCCTACTGTACAGCTGACGCTTGTAAGGCAACCTAATCAATGCACTTATTTTACACTATTTTTTCAATCACCAACCCAGGTTCTTTGACTCCCTGCCAAGGGTTCTCCTTCCTTGAATGGCGAGGGTCAACGGCACCAGTTTGTAGTAGGACGAGGAATACATGTACGTAAGTGATAAATAAAGTGCTGTCACTGGGGCTCGAAACCGCGACCAATGTAAATTCCCTACAGCTGTCGCTTTTAAGGCAACTTATCAATGGAGTTCTTTTATCACAGAATTTCAAACACCTATGCTTTTATATAACGTTACATTCAAATGGAATTTTCCTGATAATGATATTCAAATGGTTAAAAAGTTTGACACAATGTAATTTAAGATTCTTTATATTGCAGTAGAACTAGAGCAGGTCAGGATGAAGACAGTGTTTTGGATCAATGGATTGGTCTTGAGTTGAGTGTCCCAGGGAATGATTGGTCTTGAGTTGAGTGTCCCAGGGAATGATTGGTCGGAATTGTACCAGAATTAACATGTCTTGCCGGAAGTGTTCATGTGGGGTGGGTCTGTTTATCCGTACATGTCACACATTGATTTGTCTGGCCGTGCCCTCAACTCTGCTGTTCAAGAAAACAGGTACTTATTTCTGCACATGTCTGACACAATTTTAAATTTCTACCGACAGTACTGGTGTATTATGATATTTGGTCAACACATGTAGCTACCTGGGGTGAAATTCTACATGTATTAATATAAGTTACCTCAAATAATTGACCTTGACAATCATTTATCAGTCCATCACTACAGTACTAGTACTTGAACCTTTATAAAGTCTGGAAGTTCATAGTTGTATTTGACATTTCAATTCAAAGAAAAGACCATGATGGCATAAAAGACAACATCACCAACATATAGATATTGCAAAATTTGAAGAATCGGAAAGATTGAATGTCTGTTCATTTGATTGTTTTTTCTTGTAATTTTTCTTGAAAAGTTCTCAACCTCTCAAGATTCCGGCAAGTTCCTCTAATCTGTAGACAGAAAATATGCTGAATAAATTGAAGCAAAAGCATGTTTATTGATCCCAGGTGTGGTTCTAATTAAATTATTAAGTTATTTCACCCCTATGTAACTTTAGTAAACTCTATCGTGCATTGATCTGGATGAGTCCATTATGGTCCACAGTGGTGAAGGGGTTAATTTAACATGTATGTTTTATGAACAGCTCTGCAGCATGCACTGGTGGAGTTCGCTGACCCACTGTATGGGATAAGCTACGTCTGTCTGCTGGTGTTTTCCCTCGTCATGTACTTCACTGCCTGTCTCGTAGACCCAGGATATGTTCCTGTCATGGCCCATGTACATAAGGTAAGCATAGTCCCGATCAGTCTCATAGACCCAGGATATGTTCCTGTCATTGCACATGTACATAAGGTAAGCATAGTCCCGATCTGTCTCATAGACCCAGGATATGTTCCTGTCATGGCACATGTACATAAGGTAAGCAACGTCCCGATCTGTCTCATAGACCCAGGATATGTTCCTGTCATTGCACATGTACATAAGGTAAGCATAGTCCCGATCTGTCTCATAGACCCAGGATATGTTGCTGTCATGGCACATGTACATAAGGTAAGCAACGTCCCGATCTGTCAGCCTCGGTTCAGATCTGTGTCTGTCATTTTCTTTACAGGTTCAACCGGATACGCAAATGTACCCATTGTCTCAATACACTACCTGTAAACAGAATCTTGTGTAATATTTTGCACACAATTTTTGCTTCTTGATGTATTCAATACACAATTTATACACACATTGTCCTTTCGTCCATCCGTCCGGCGTAAACTTTTGTTTGTCCGGCAATCTCCTCCTACATTTTTCGACCGATCTGTTTGAAACTTGGTATAAATTATAATCATGATATGAAGTTGTGTCTCCCGTAATAGAATTTTGATTCAACAATTTTTCCAAAAGTTATTGCCCATTGTTTATTTCAGTATTTGATTTTTTTGTCCGGCTAAATAATCATGATATGTTGTTGTGTTTCCTTTAAAAGAATTTTGATTTGACACTTTTTGCAAAAGTTATTGCCCTTTGTTTATTTCAGTATTTGAATTTTGTCCGGCAATCTCCTCCTACATTTTTTAACAGATCTCTTTGAAACTTGGTATACGGTATAATCATGATATGAAGTTGTGTTTCCTTGAAAAGAATTTTGATTCGACAATTTTTCCAAAAGTAATTGCCCTTTGTTTATTTCAGTATTTGATTTTTGTCCAGAGATCTCCTTCATTTTTCAACGGATCTCTTTGAAACTTAGTAAGCTCAATAATCGTGATGATATGTTGTTGTGTTTCCTTTAAAAGAATTTTGATTTGACACTTTTTGCAAAAGTTATTGCCCTTTGTTCATTTCAGTATTTGATTTTTGTCCAGAGATCTCCTTCATTTTTCAACGGATCTCTTTGAAACTTAGTAAGCTCAATAATCATGATGATATGTTGTTGTGTTTCCTTGAAAAGAATTTTGATTCAACAATTTTTGCAAAAGTTATTGCCCTTTGTTTATTTCAGTATTTGGGTTTTTTTATCCGGAGATTTTCTCCTACATTTTAATAGCTTGTCAGCTAACCACTCTTTGAATGATGCAGATCTTATTTCAATGTAAGAAATTGGATAACACTATATGGCATTCAACGGGCGTATATTGTTCCACCCCGCGGTACTCTTGTTTCACTTTTACACTGTTTATCTTTATCTGCGTGACCTGTGCCGGTTTGCTGTAGAAGTCGGCTCTGAAACACCCTCCTAAGGATGATAGTGATGAGGATGTTGACCCGGAGACAGAGGACCACACTCCTATGTTACGGACAGCTACTGGAGAGATTGACACAGAAAAACTCTACAGATACTGTGACTATTGTGAAATTGAGGTACAGCTGAACAAGAAAATTATATTTTGAAAATCTGCTGAAAAAGAGTATATTTATTTAAGCCTGTCCTCCCCCTTCCCCCACAACAAAGTTAGGGGGTTATAAGGGGGGAGTACTAGAGTCTATTCGTCCATCTGTCTGTGGATAAAAGCTTGTTTGGAGTGATTTAAAGAAAAAATAATCTACATGATTGGTATATCATGGTAGGTCATGTCATACTCTGACCAGAATTTTTTTCCAAAACCATGTGACAAATTACAAAGACATTCCAGGAGTGACACATAAGAGATTGTACTTTGCATCAAATGGCTAGTTTGTAATTTTTTGTAATTTGTAATTTTTGGGATTTAAGATGACTGCCATGGCCTCTGATTGGCTTATAGGCAATAACAGTTATAACTTGAGTTCAATAGATCGTACTTTGTTGATATTTTGTTATAGTGATACATAGGGGAATATGTTGTATATTACAAAGGATATATTTAGATTTTGGGATTCAAGATAGCAGCTAAGGCCTCTAACTGATCACTGTGACAATAAAAACCTGGTCGAGCCAGGGTATAAGTATGTCTGTGGCTTATATTTCTGCTTAAATATCATTGTTACTAGGTTTGATGAACAATTTTCATGGTTGTGATTGGATACTTACAGCAACCAATGAGGAGCAAGCACTGTGAGGATTGTAATAAGTGTGTGAGGAAGTATGACCACCACTGCCCTTGGCTGGAGACATGTGTTGGGGAGAGAAACCACCGATTTTTCTGGCTCTTCCTCCTGTCCACAGCTCTCCTCATACTTTGGACCTTTGTCATCACCTGGTCAGTATGCCCAAAGTATCATGTAGCATGAGTCAGTGGACAAATTTATTCTGGTGGACCGTCCCTATATCTGCATGGTCATACTTGCCCTTCACCTCCAGTATCTTTTATTCAATTCTCTGCCAAACCCAACACCCTTGTGACTACACATACTGATCACGAATGCCCAAAATGCACAAACGATGCAATTTTATTGTAACTTACCTTTTTCATGATAAGTTATCATTTGACTTTACAGAAACTTCTAATTACTTAATTATACCCGTTCTCCTTAAATCTACAATCTTATCAGGTATTATCCTTCAAAATAATCCGGTCTCAACATGGTTGATTAAAGTTTCCATTCTCATCATATGTATTGTACTAAAATAGAATCGTCCTATAAAGTTGACAATATGTATTCGAATGTTTTCTGTCCATCTCGTAGTAGGTATGTAATGCATTGCCCGGACTGACCTGGTACTGCATGTGCTGCATACTATCGGGGGACCGCCACCTGGTGGTCAGTCTGGCAGACAACAGTGCGATAGATGATTTCTAGTACCATATATTTCACTTCCAATACCCCTATTGTCATTGTGAGATCATTTCTGATATGTGTTTGGGTTGCAGGAGAGGTTTTGATCAGGAAGACGGTTGGGAGGGCTGGTTCCACAGCAATGTTCTCCTCTTTATTGACATCATGGTACTGATTCTCGGCGGATTCACAGTGTTGGGACTCCTCGCCTTTCATTCGTATCTTATGGTGAAAAATATGACCACTTGGGAATGTGCCGCCAGGGAAAAAATAACCTACCTGAAATATCTGGAGGATGACTATAACCCGTTTGATCAGGGCTGTTTCCACAACATATACTGTTTTCTGTGTCGGGCCAAGAGCAGAAGGTGGGAGGTTCTGTACGAAAAGAAGACAGAGATGCGTAAAAAGAACAGTAGTATAGTGTGATGGTTGTATTGCCATGTGACTGCATAGCTGTCAGACCTCATTTTGACCAAATTTACCAATTTCCTGCGAAACTCCCTCATTCAAGTCCAAACTCACACAAACTCAAAATCTACATCCTGTGGTCAAATGATCTCCTAGTTACTGCAGTGTATGTAATGATAATAACAGGTGTGTTTGAATCAAATGAATGCTTTTGGAGTTGTTTTGGTACATGAAAAGGAAAAGATAAATTGAGCAAAGCAGTTTCAGTCGCGTTTCCGTCATTGGAAATGTGGAATGAGGGAGATCTCCCTCATTGGAAATTTCAGAGGTTGACACCTGTGTGACTGTCTTACTTGTTTTCTTAAAGAACAATTTTTTCTTCTGTTTTCTTTTCATTTTCATTGGATATGTGGTTTGTTATTTGAATGATAAGATTGTAATAGGTAGGTTCCTGGTTTTTTTGGTGAACAAATTTATATGACGAAATTTGATTACTGGTAACTTCAAAAATTACATTTCAACTGGGATGTGATCTAGTGTGATGAAAGTGTTCACGGTTTATAAAACTAAAAAGGTACAAAGGACCTGATATTTTAGTCACACCTTTCATTATGAATTATAAGACATATATTGATTCTGAAGTGCATCATTTTTGGAGCCAAAACATTAACGAGACCAAGACTTCGTCTGTGATATTAATAGCATACATTGTACGGTACATACTGGTAGTTAATTATGACATCGTCTCAATGCCTACACACTGCTGTAGTTTTAAGTTTACTCTCTGCTGATCATTGTACCATTCAATACACCCATGACATAATTTTTTTGCGTATTGCCTCGTGTAATTGAATTCATTCTGACATTGGAGTTAAGACAATAATCATGCCGTCACGACATTTTGATGTCAAAACAATTTACAAGAAACACATATGTGGATGCCATTGAAGATTTGACGATGGTTTAACAAAGAAAAGTTGTTCACAAATATTTGCACACCGATACATTCTTCGTACATTGTAATGTGATAAAAGCATATTGAATTTCATTCACCTGAATTGAGATTGAGTTTTCTTTTTAAGCTTGGAAGAGCCTTGTAACTAGGCTTATTTCAAAATTTTAACATGCATTGGAAATTAATTTAATTATAATTAATTGTAGACTGAAATTATTTGCCACATTTTAAACCTATAATTTGTTTTACCTCCTATTCAGGCATACGAATGTGTCAGTGTGGTGTGCTTATTTTTGACTGCGCAAATAATGTGTTATTTATAATACTTGATGCTAAATATTGATAATTATAAATACTTGTTGACAGTACTTGTGTTGACCAATAGATTTAGGAATGCATGTAGCACTCTGGAGGATAAAAACAAACGTCAGTACCAACAAATGAATATTGAAATCAGAACCTGTGTAAATATTGAGAAGGACGGATGCACACTTTGCCATTTTGTTTTATGGCCATTTTGGAAGCAGTTGAAGTTTCAGTCGGTTGACTTGATAAGCTGATAATAAACCTAGAAGTTTCAGCCAAAATAGAGTACTGGCTGTCCGGGGCAAAACAAGTACAATTTCCTTATATTGTGACTTGTGCAATCTGGAACCTCATATTGTATTGTGTCTGAAAACAGGCTGTATCACTACAATGTATTAATAATGAGATTTATGTGATACTTGTAATATTTTTTTGTGTAATTTATTCTCTTAATGCTGAGACGCTAGCAATAATATAACAGAAATGGTATGTGTGTAACTATAGATATAGCAGTATTTTTACATGAAATGAGAAATAAAGGATTACACCGGTTTGTAGTTTTTTCACAACACTGAACTGACTCAAAGTGATGAGATGCAGTTATTATGTAAGAGGGGAACAAAACTTGACGAAATCTGTATATTGATGTTCGCATGACAATACTGATCAAAATAGACGCCCTTTAACAATGTATTAAACATATCAATGTTTATGTTTTATTTTTCTCAAGTCCTTTACAAAACTTTGTGTGTTGTAAGAAAAGTTCTGCTGATAACAACCTGGTCTGAAAGACAGAAAGCCTGCTGGTAATTTTTCCAGTTTCAAAGAATTTACTGGATTTTGAATTTTAAATATTAAATTGAAATTACATTCTTACGTTTTACTCACTTTTTATTTAATGTTGATTCCACTTGTATTTCAAATTATTTAGTGAACAAGGTTGTTTTTTTAAATCATCTATTTATCTAAGAAATAATCATTGTATGTGAATTGCGGTGAACAATATAAACTCAGTATTTCGAAAAAGGATGCTTTGGCTGGAGTTAATTATTTTATCCAACATTTTTGAATACTGAGTTGATATTCCACCATAATATATAAACATTCTGTTGATTATATGAATTCTGTCATGTCAAAATGTAAAGTAATGTGCTTTCGTGTCTACCACGGTGCCTACAAGACAATGTGACCTGGACAATCCAATTATTTAAATTTAATGAATTAGCTTTATTTTATTGTTGTATTTTTCCAAGCAGATATTTGTCATGTGATGCTAATTTTCATTTCACCAATAAGTCATGCTCAGCTGTCAATTTTTTTAAAAACATTTTGACGAGAGTTGTGTGAAACCAGAATACTAATTCATGTAAATACTTCACTTAATACACTTACTGGTCCATCACAGGAGGTCAATTTTAGTGTTATAGAGTCGTATAATATAACTGTATTGATCTTTGGTGTACATAATTCAGTTGAGCATATTCTAGCTGTGTAATATGGTTTACATCCTTTGTTTTTTTACTTTGAAGTACAGTATTCGTTTTGTTATTTTTGTTCAATGTTTTTTTTTTAAATACTGCTGGTTCAGTAATTAGTTCAGATGTTGTTGTTTGTTGCTGTATTTGCGTGAGTATATCTAGTAGACCTAGGCTACATTCGCGTATTTGGTTGAACCGGTTGAACCTGTAAAGGAAACGACAGGTACAGATCTGGACCGAGGCTGATCTCAGGAAAATTTGGAACGTGTAGATTGAGGGGTCCAGACGTACCTGACCGAAACTAAAATGCTGACTATTGCCAATGTGCGTTATTTCTTTCTTAAACAATGTCAAGTCTCATGTAATTTTTAAGATACGTCATGTAATTTAGTGGATGCATGAGAGAAGGGCATAATATTCTTGATACATTGTTTTTTATTCTCCGAAACTGTGAATTTTTAGCTCTGCTTATAGAACGGTCCAAGTGTGTTCGTTTATCCTGGAAAATTTCTGCACCACACGTACCGTTTCAACCGGGATACGCGAATGTAGCCAAAGTGTGAAACATATCTTTCTTTTTCATTGAAGAATCTTTTCTTTCTATATGCTATGACATTCCTCCATTAGGAACATGGGTACCACTAACGAATCATTCGTCCAGCTATGCTGCTTTTGTTACAAATTTTCATACGGTTGTTTCCTTTCTTGGTGTCATGTATATATACCTCTCAACCTTGACCTAAATCTGTACAGATACAGTGTACAAGGAAACAGGTTTAGTTTGATCCACTTAAATCGAGTAATGTGTATCTTGTAGTCATTTAAGATTTTAACTGCTTTCAATTGGCATTCATAGACAATATTCATGCCAATTGGAACCCGATTTATCATAAAAAGTGCTAGCATTTCATTTTGAATTTGTTAAGTTCCAATTGGCAATCAAATTGCCTGTGAATGCCAACTGACGGCTGTGCAATACTTATATTAACCATTTTTTGATATTTTAATATTATGAAAAATTAAAATTTGTTTAACAAATCCTGCATTTTTGATGAATATAACAGCCATCTAGGTAGGGCCAGTGGTATCTGACGTTACAATTATGACATCATTATGATGACCTCAATAGGTGGGCCATGGAATTCATAGCCGATATGAATCCCATAAGAACTTGGAGGGGTGATATATTTGTCAGTGCCATAGAATGGTAAATATATTTAAGTATTACTTGATGTGTTTATTTTCTTGGGTCGCATTTAACATCTTTAATACGAATTTAAGCTCGATAACAAGCAACAAATATTACATAAAAATAGGAATGATATTTTCAGAGTATTTTGACATTATGTAAGTATGAATTCTACCAGGAAACAATGTCAGTAAAATATGTGAAAATTTAATTTGTCGATGTCAAGATCAAATTATGTCTATCCCACACTTTAATAATTATTGTTTTGTTGGTGTGGTTGGAATGAATGACTGTTGTTACAGACCTGTACACAAGATTTGGCTATTAACCCTGTAGATATTTTGATGGACTTTGACAGACTTTTGTGGTAGATTATTGTAATAGAACTTTTTAAGATAATAAATAGCTCTATTTTCTTGTTAAAATTTTGCATTGACCTTTAAATATGTGGTGGAAATCTATGACGAAGATTTTTAACTGCAACGAAACAAACTGGACCAATGTCTAACTTAATAAATTTGTGATGATTTGAAATTGTTCAGTGTTTTAAATACCTGTACTGTATATTTGCCAAACCATGACATGTTGAAGTTGGCACGGAGGGAGATGGTTTACAAAGCGAGTTCTATGACATGGAGAGCTTGGACACAGGGAAACAGACCTTCTTGCCCTGCATCCTCACTGCCCATAACACTGGCATATTCTTCATTCATACAAGATTCAATCACCATGGCCTGGGAATGTTACTCACTAAATCGGGTTCAAATCCCTTCACCTGATCTTAAGAAGTGCATGTTATAGTGTCTTTTCTTTTATCTTTTAGAGACTTGTCCCATCCATTTTCCTTATTGGTCCCCACCTCAACCCCTGAACATGGTTGATGCTGGTCCCTGGATGCTCCCAACTAGTGTGATTGCTCTTACAAGTCACATGACTACAGACGCGTTGTAGTATATGTAATTCTGGACTCATCCAAAACCTGTATTTAGTCATGCCTGATGTAATAAAGTAGTTCATAAAATGACGCCGTTGATTGCACTGTTGTTGTTGGCTCAAGGATGATTGTTTGTAAATTGTAAATACATCACACACATCATTTTTTAAATCAATTTAACCCAACAAGGTATTAAAACTTTAATTGCAGCAGAACATAATTTAGCTTTCTGTACCTATTGGGATCCCAACTATATAACCCGCAATGTAGCTTTGATATATAGCCACAGATCAAGGATTTCGGTTTATAATAATGGTTTGGTAGGAGACATTAACTGGCCATCAATTACGTAAATGCACAAATTTAATGATCAAGTCCATTAGTTTCTATTAAAGTTATTATTAAAACAAATACTGACCATAAATGTTTCATTGCCATTACAGATAAATGATATTGTTGGGGAGGTTGACAAAATATGCTGTATGAAGAGGTATCAAATATGGTATACAGGGTTATTTTAATTTCTAATGGTCGTTTTATGTTGCAATTTTCACGTCGAGTAGTTCTCGAACCTCAATTACTGTACCACATCATGTTTACCAATCTAGAAACAGACTCAATACCGCGTTTGTATATTTCTAATTATACACAGGAATATAAGTTTGAAATCCCAAGCTGTATAGGGTATTCAGACGCACACTCTTCATATTCTTTGAAGACTTATGTCAATGGATCGGGATGATAAAAATAAAAACAAAAAACTTTAATCAAGAAATTTTGTATTTATTTCACATTGCTGATATATCACCTTTTAAATGATGATAATGTTAGAGATGAGTATAAATATGACACTAATATTTTCAAATAACACAAGTCCATCTGTAACAGCTTTTCCAAGATTTTCTTTATTCTTACTAAAATACAGAAATCTTAATTGAGCAAATCATAGTAAAATTAATAAATCAATTAAATATATATTGTCCATTGTATAGGAATTGCTATTCAAAGTATTTTTTTCTTTCATTCATAGAAATAAATAATTTACTAGTCTATAAAATAAGGAAAAGGTAAACTTTTGATTTCATTTCTTGGCAACACTGATTGTACAAATCCTGAGCATGATTCATGGGTAGGCAGGGATCCAGTGTTCTGCAACCCACACCACCCAAAAAATTATAAATGAAAAAACCCTGAGTACATGTGTTTCTTATTTAAAACCCTGAGTACATGTGTTTCTTATTTAATTCTATCACGAGAAATGTGGGACAAAGTCTCCCTGCATAATATTGCTAACAGTTCACCACATAGAACTTGTTTTCTTCTGCTATCACATATACCCTCTGTATCACATACATCCTTGGTATAAAACTATATAGAATAAGCTTTGGAGTCTTACATCTGTTTTGCACTCTGGGATAAACCTGCATATTGATTGATTGATGGGGCTTAATGTCCGTGTGCCGGTTATAACCGAGCCTAGGACAACACAAACCTGCAGAAAATGTTGAGAGACCATTTCAACATATTAAACTTTTTCAATATTTCAATTCCCTGTTCTTATAAGAGATTTTGATAACAAAATTGGCTCCTAGAACATTTTTGAGAGGACCATATGTATTTTTCAAAATAAAAAGAGTCCATGGTCCCAGAAATATCGCTGTTCAGTACCTTAATCTTATACCCTGAGGTTATGTTAAACACATCAACCCTCAGGGTAAGACTCTTGGCTATCCAAAGCTGACTCTTGCCTGTTTGGTTAAAATTGTACTACAGGATAATTGTGTGAAGATCTTGGTTTAATCTACACTTTGTTCTTGGACTTTTGAAAATGAAATTTCATGTTGATCAACATTACAACCCAATACATTCATTCAATCAAATCACTTCAAAAATATAATGTTCTCAGTGTAAATAATTTTTTCACATGGTCTCCTTAGCTGTCGTCAGATGTTCTCTAGAAATGATCACCCTCTGGATCTGAGCAGTTCCCTCATAGATCTGAAAAGATGGAATTTATATAACAGCATTTTATACAGAATTTAGTCTGAAATAGGTTTTTACTCTGTGACTCAATAAATATCAAAGGAAGTTCTTTGAGGAAATATATATGTACAAAAGAACAAGAGTACTTACTACCGCCCAAAGCTGGACAATACATTCTACTATGCATTAATGCAATGCTAACACAGTCTACCACAGTGGTATCTGGTAAAAGTAATACATGTAATGAGATACATACCTGATAGATCTTGGCATCTCTCATTAATTTCTCAACAGGATAGTCCGAATTGAAACCATTTCCACCAAAAATCTGTGTGAAGAGAAAGACATGTTCTGACACTATAAATGCATTTTTTTTTTCTAATTTCAAATTTTGTAAAAAAAAAAATCAGCAGTGCAAAAAAATCATCACTATATACCAAATCAATAATATATTGCAGTGGATTCAATTAAGTTTTCTATAACTTCGACACAGCAGTAAGCATGAATGTGCAAACACCCACACCAATCTGTACACAACCTCATCACTCATCTACGGTATATCACTAACCTGTACACAACCTAATCACCAACAGGTACAAAACCTCATCAGTCACCTGTACATAAGCTCATCACTTACATGTAAGCGCTTACTTAATGTTAGAAGGTGTACTCCAAACAATATGTTGTACTCTGAACTTGGTAGATTACCACTTTGTATAATACGGAAAATGAGAATAATTAAGTATTGGTTGAAATTACTTGAAACAGATAACTGTATTTTGAAAGCCTTGTATAATGATATGTTGTCTGAAGTAAATACAAAGGCCAACTGGCTTAGTAATGTGAAATCAATATTAATGTCTCTAGGTTTTGGATATGTTTGGTATGACCAGAAAGTTGTATGTAACAATCAATTTATACTGGACGTTAAACTACGTCTACGTGATGTTTTTATACAAAATATGAACATTTTTTTTGAAAACTCCACGAAATGTTTTTTATATAGATGTCTGCCCGAGGTTAATTGTCTTCAGTATTATCTTTGTAAATCTTTTCCTGAATCTTGTATTTTAACCATTGCGAAATTTAGATTATCTTCACACGACCTTCGTATAGAAAGGGGCAGATATGAGAGAATACCTCGTAATGAAAGACTTTGTTTAAAGTGTAATTTAGGCGATATAGAGGACGAATTGCATTTTATTCTTGTTTGTCCATTTTACAACGAAGTAAGAACACAATATATTGACAGATATTACAGAATTAGACCGTCTATGTTTAAATTAATTAATTTACTTTCTGTTAGAAGTAAGAGGAAATTGAATAATCTTTCCAAATTTTTAATTTCTGCTTCACAACTGAGATCAAATGAATAATTACACATATTGTCCATCCTCCATAATATGTCTGTATTGCTGTGTATCACTCACTCAATTTTGTAAAATGTATTGTAATGTTTATGCTGATTAGCCGAAAGGCTAAAGGCCAATAAACTAAACTAAACTAAACTATACAACTTCAACACTTACCTGTACACAATCTCATCACTCATATACGGTATATCACTAACCTGTACACAACATTATCACCCATCTGTACACAATCTCATCACTCATCTACGGTATATCACTTACCTGTACACAACATTATCTCCCATCTGAACACAACCTCATCACTCATCTACGGTATATCACTAACCTGTACACAACATTATCACCCATCTACGGTATATCACTAACCTGTACACAACCTAATCACCAACAGGTACAAAACCTCATCAGTCACCTGTACATAAGCTCATCTATCAACTGTACACAACTCACCACTTACCTGTACACAACCTCATCTTTCCTGTACACAACTCATCACTTACCTGTACACAACCTCATCTTTCCTGTACACAACCTCATCTACCATCTGTACATAACCTCATGACTTACCTGTACACAAGTTTGTCACCTACATTTACACAACCTTATCACTCACTTGTACACAATCTAATCAATTACCTGTACAGCAACTCATCACCAACCTGTACACAACCTCATCACTCATCTGTAAACAGTTTTATCACTCACCTGTACACAACCTCATCACCAACCTGTACACAACCTCATCACTCATCTGTAAACAACTTTATCACACACCTCTACACAAATTGATCAGTCACCTGTAGACAACTTCATTAGTCACCTGTACACAATATCATCAGTCACCTGTACTCAACTTCATCACTTACCTGTACAGCATCAGCAGCAGCTTTGTTGGCCACATCTCCAGCAAGTGCCTTTGCTATGGAGGCGAAATAGGTGTTGCGCCTGCCCTGGTCAATCTCCCATGCTGAACGGTATGTAGCAAGTCTGGAGGTCTCCACACCAATCACCATGTCGGCCAACAGGAATGCCACAGCTTGATGCTGATAATGATGTCAATCCATTAATCAGTACCTAATGTCATTTTTATTTTTCTGTTTTAAGAAATTTTCTTATTCAAACTTAATCTTAAGTTCAAAACATAGTGTCAGAGTATTTAAATGAATTCACAAGATTGCACAAGGATATTACCTCACAAATTTGCTTTCCAAAGGTTTTCCTTTCCATTGAGTACTTTGTTGCTTCATCCAGTGCCCTCTGGGCAAGACCCACAGCTCCTGCTGCAACCTGGTGGAAAATGGAAAATACAAATCAATTTGTTAAATGTACACATTAAGTTAAAATTTGCTGTTATCTACCTATGAAATCTTTGCAAACATGTGAATCTTGAAATTTGTTCTCATTAAAAGGTGCAGATTATTAGCTGCGTTAATACATTTTATAGTCATGTCCTTGAAAAGTAATCTACCAGGGAATGTTCATCACCATATCAAGCAAATGGAATCTGACATTTTGTATACATTTATTCTGAGTTTGATGTCATCATTTCTGATTACAATTAGCAGCTTTAATAGTCAAGATTTTACAGTACAAAGTTTAAGTTCAAAATAAGAAAGAATTTGACACCAGTATTATTTATAAAGACTGGAATATTCTAAGGTTATACAGGAAACGGAAATGTGGTAACAGATGGACTCACGGGAGGTCTTGTTTTGTCGAAGGCTCCCATAGCAACCTTGAAACCTAATCCCTCAGCTGTCAACACATTCTGTAATATATCACACATGTACCAGTACAGACACTCCATCACAATATGTACCACTTAATAATTTAACAAGTCCATAGAAAAAATTATGTCTAAATTTCTGAAGTAATTTGTTGAATAGATATAGCACATTGATTTCCTTTTTTAGATACCTCAGTAAACAATATACTAACTGCATTAATTAAACTAATGCTATTAATGTTGAGATTTCACAATTCTTTTCAAAAGCTCAAAAAGATTTCAATACTGGAATATGTTTCCGAAAAAAAATCATGCCATCTTTTCATAATGTAATGTCACATGGAAAAAATATAAAACCATTCCTGAAATGCACCTCATTTGCAACAGCAAATTTTTATTGTCCACAAAATTACCAATATCTGGATAAGGTCCCATTCCATAATGTTTACATAGAATTAATCCTATATTGACTGTACAACCTATCCGTACCTCGGCTGGCACTACAACATCCTCAAATGTGATTCCCCTAGTATCGGAAGCCCTCTGTCCCATGTTCCACTCCTAGTGTGAGGAAATCAAAAAAATCATTGTTCACAGTATACAAGAAAACTTTTCTATTGTTTGATTTCATCATAAAAGTAAACAAAATATTGTAAACATTTTGCAATATATACATTCTCAGGAATAAGCAAAAGCACAATAATAAATACAGGATTTGATGAGAAAATAGATTCACAGTATTTAAGTTAATAAGACAAAACAGTACATGTATACTATATACGATAACTTTTGTTTTTATAGAACACAGGACATTTTTTTTGTCCATGACCTTGTGAAAGCAGTACAAAATACACAAGAATGAGACTACTGATATAAGTGTCCTACAGTAAACAATGTGTGTGGTGATATTTTGTTACCTTCCTGCCGACGGTGATCCCTGGCGTGTTGGCATCCACTATAAACCCTGTGAAGGCCTTTCCGGTGGACATGCTGGAATCTCCGGTACGGGCAAGTACGAAGTACCAGTTAGCCACTCCACCATTGGTGATCCACATTTTGCTGCCGTTAATGACGTACTCGTTCCCCTTCTTCACCGCCTTTGTCTTCAGTCCAGCCACATCTGATCCTGCGCCAGGTTCTGTTACACAGTAGGCCTGCAGACATTCAAATCCTAACACTCATAAGTCTGACGATAACATGTCATTATCTGAATTTATATATAAATGTTGAAATTACTGGACATTCACTTGCAAAACAAGACTGTCCATGGCAAGTAATTGGTATAATACAAATATCAATAATAAAGTGGACTCACATTATGTTTTATTCAAAACTACTCTCAGGTGTTTTCCAAGACATGTAACAAATACAATTTTTTCCAATATTCATCAACAAAATGTCCATACACAGTAGATGTGTCCATCATTCTTATTTGTTAACACACAATGACTTCCATTTTCCATCATTGTATGTTCAACTTTAATATCAAATAAAGTACTCGTATCATTAGGACTATTCCAGTAAAAAAATAAAGGACTATTCCAGTAAATAAATCTACTAAAACATCAGCAGGACTCTAAATATAAATCTCCTCTATCCATGGTTCAGTTGTCTGCCTTTATTGCTTTTATGTAAATTAATAATGAAATTCTATGTGGAGCACTGCCTGAACATAACCTTGAACCCTAGGGTGGTACAGATGTTTTACTTGATGAATAGCTCTTTCTTTCACATAATAGATATACACTTCCATTATTTGCCTTGTAGATAAATCATTGCCTAAACATGAGAGGCTGTTCAGTCATTCAACTTGTCAATAAATCGTTTCTTGTACACTAATCAGGCTCTTCCATTTTTAACTAGTCGAGCATAATTATTTATTTACGCACAAGAGGCTCTTCCATCATTTGACTATTTTAATAATCCATTATTTTCTTCCATCATTTAACTATTTTAGTAATCCATTATTTACGTACAAGTGCTCGTCCATCATACATCTTATCAATTTAAATCATTTACTTACACACATGAGAGGCTCTTCCATCATTCGACCAAGGTATTTCTTCTGCTGTGCCTCATTACCAGCAAGGATCACAGGCATTTGCTAGAAAAAAATATTCAATCAAAATAATAACAACTTTTAAAAAGAAATTATCATATATTATAGATCAAGATGTTTGTGGTTTTTGAAATATTTCAAACATGAATCATACAAAAATACTTTCGAGTGATGAACCTTTTTTTAATAAACACCTTTTAGAACTGATTAAAAAGTCCTTAAATTCAAGCAAAAAAATATGTATGTAAAAGGATAATCAACTGTATTTCTCCACTGATTATATTTTGTGTCCCCCACTGGCCACCACACCCTTCTCATCAATCACTGTTTGGAAATAAATATAACTTAAGTGACTATCTCTCCATATCTAAGTGAACATCAGCTTAGAAAGTTTTAAAATGGAGCTGTCTCTATACCACAAGATAATTTGCCTCTTTGATCGCCAGTAAACCAGCCTAGAGCACTTACCACAAGATAATTTGCCTCTTTGATTGCCAGTAAACCAGCCTAGAGCACTTAACACAAGATAATTTGCCTCTTTGATTGTCAGTAAACCAGCCTAGGGCACTTACCACAAGATAATTTGCCTCTTTGATTGTCAGTAAACCAGCCTAGAGCACTTACCACAAGATAATTTGCCTCTTTGATTGTCAGTAAACCAGCCTAG